TATTATTCATTATCTACTCTTCCATTCCAGTTCTATAAGTTTTACTTACATTCCTTCTGCATACTTTGTACTTTACTCATCCATACCTTGAGCCGCATCTATCCTATTTACCTATAATTTATTAACGGTATTACAAGTTTCTTTATTGTCTAATTTTTTACATTTTGTACTTATATATATTTATTATTTTTATACTTTTTCAATTTTTGTTTTTATATTTTTGGTATTTATAATTATTGTTCTAACTAATTTTACATTCTTTATTTCTATCATATTTTGCTGTCTTAACAGTTACATGTCTGTGTTTGTTGTTACAATTCTTTAATACGATATTTATTCTAATACAATGTTTTCTACATATTTATAGTTAGTATAATCCTCTTTGATTTTGTTTTCTTCTAAGTATTATGGTCACTGAATAAGTAATTTTCTTTCTTTCAAATTACTAGACACTGGATTGCAAGGATTATTTTTGCAAGTTACTGAATATTGCAAGTTATATACCAGTCCATTACTTTTTTATTCTTAATACAAAACGCTTAAAAAATCCACTTGGTCCCTGGCACCCTGAGATGGGAATCGAACCCACGACCTTTCGCATTCTGGGCGACTGCTCTAACCGCCGAGCTACCCAGGACCTAACAGGACTGACGAGTCTCTCAAGCACTTGTTACTTTTCGCTACTACAGAGCGTATTCTCATCAGAGCGTATTTTCTTTACTTTTTTTGTGCGATTTAATATTTTTCAAATGTAACACCAAACATTTTGTCAAATCGGTTCAGCAGTTTTGAAATAAACTATTAAATATAACATGCTATACAAAGGAACAAATGAAAAATTATATTTTTATGTCATGACTTCAAAAAGTTTCAATAATTAAGACAGAAATCAGGTGGAAATTATTTCGGTTTTCATTAAACCTTTGCTTTCCTTTTTAAATAGGTTTTATTCAATTACACTTCTTATCCAATTACAGGGTTGCGCTCAACGTTCATTGGTTCCAGATTTTCGGTTCTAGAAATGAATGAGCCTTCTATATCTACATTATGTAGTAACACACAAAGTGTGACTGAACAAGATCTCAGTCATTCATCTGCCATTTCACAAACCGTAAATATAACTTATAATACGAATCCTTTCAGACAAGTCGTAACTCAGTAAGGCAAAATATTGTGAAACTGCTCACTTGACCGGAAGGTCTTGTTGTTTTTTGAATATATAATATAATTCTAGTCTGTTTTATTATCTTAAACCAATGAATCCGGTTTGAGTGTGAATATATAATTGGTTTTATGTTTCATAATTTGTTAACATTTTTGTTTCAATAACTGTTGACTCATCTATGAAAAAAAAAAAAAAATGCTTTTGACATAGGTACTAGGCCAGAGACTGGGGTTAACTATTAAAAGTAAGTATGACCAAAGCTTTATAAACAAAGGTACTCCAGGTCAATCGTTAAATAACATTGTTAATAAAATAAAACTGCAGGAATTGAATAGTTACTAACATTATTATTTTATGTCGTGTCAGCACCTTAAGTTCAACATGTGATATTTTTAATAAATATTAATAAGTTGCTAAAAATTCAATCAGCAACAAACTGTAGTGATAATCAATGCTTATCCTAATGTGCATAACTAAACTAAAGAACAAAACGAGCGCATATATAAAATAAATTTAAATATATATAATTTAATATCTCATTATAGTGATGATACTTTATATTTTGATTATATGGGACAGGTAAGCAACTCTGTTAGCTTTCAACTTACAAAATTCTGTTATAGTTGATATAACAAAGTCTAACTACTGTGTTAGTAATTCTACAAATGTTTTATTAAAGAGAAAATAAAGAATTCCAATAATAAAATCAAAACAACTTGGAATATAATAAACCGTGAAACCGGTAAGGAGCAAATACGTGAAGATATTCTGACTTAATAATAAGACCATCAAATCTTACGATAAAATTGCTAATATATTTGACGAGTATTTTATAAACATACCAATTGAAACAATATCTGGTTTAAATTCTTCACCAACCCCGCAAAGGCTTTTTTAGAAAAATACGTGTCTAAGATAGACTGTTTAAATTTAAATAGGATATTAATTTCTTAGATATCATTAAACCCTTTAAATGTCTGAAAATAAAAAACGCATGTGATTTATGGGGCAAATCTCTTAATATTATTAAAAGTATAGTTCATGTTATAGCCCCTCACTTGGCTGATATATTTAACTGTTGTATAGAGGAAGGAATTTTTCCATATCTTATAAAGTTTAGCAAAGTTATACCTCTTTTTAAATCCGGTAATAGGGAAGACCATAGTAATATTACAGACTTTAAGTAAAATCTTTGGAAAATAATTCTTGAACAGTTATTGTCTTAATTTAATTTAAATAAATTACTGCATACTCAACAAAATGGTTTCACAAAAGGTCGCTCTACTACTGATGCTGGTGTAGCACTTTTTAAACACACATTTAAGGCTTGGGAGGGATCACAGAATGCTCTTGGAGTATTTTGTGACTTATCCAAGGCATTTGATTGCGTTGTCCTTCGAACACTAGTAATGAAGCTGGTTCTCAAGTAAAAATAGGGGGTTCCCAGGGTCTATAATGGGTCCTTTTCTGTTTCTTTAATATTAAATATTGATAGATTTAAAAAAATTTTGACCATGTAAACAATTATGTTCTCTCACAGATTACTATAAATAATCTATAGTTAAATGCTTAAAAACGAAATATATTAAGTTAATGTTACCTAATGTGAAAGCTGAACTAAATGATGAAAAGCTCGAGTTGGTTTATTCAACAAACTTCTTGGGTGTAACGCTGGATTCTAAATTATAATGGCATCCTCACATATCATTATTGGCAGGAAAACTAAGTTCAGCTGCCTATGAAATACGAAAAATTAATGTATCTACACACTGCCAGGACAATATACTTTAGCTATCTATATTTTATATGGTATTTTGCTGTGGGGTATGGCTGCAGATATAGTCTGTATTTAGTTAAAGAAAATCACTTAGAGATAAATTCAAAGAAATTGGGATATCAACAGAATCCTCCCAATTGATATACAATTAAATACTTTATGTTATAAATAATATAAATAATTACAATAAACATGTACACAATTTTAATACCAGAAACAAAGATAAACTTGTTTTGACATCATGCAGGTTAAAGAAGGTTCTATCAACATTTATACAATACTATAACAAAATTCCTATGGAAATTCACCATTGCCTAAATTTAAGACCCATATTAAGAATTGTCTACTCAGTAAAGGAACAAAACTGCTTAGTGTTAAATATGGTTTATTTTTAAGTAAGCAGTGACTGGAATACTGCGAGCACTTTATCGTCTTAAAAACGTTTTGCCAGTCAATATTAAAGTTATGCTTGTGCAGTTCTTGATATTTCCTATAATCGACTATGGTAATGTGTGCTACCTCGACCTGAATGCAGATCTACTAAATAAACTCGACCGACTTCTGAATAACTGCATTTGATTCGTTTTCATTTGTCATACCTATGTGGTTTATAAAGCAACCAATTTGTGTTCGGAGTGGATTAGTGGAGGGCCTTCAAACATAAGATATAATTCGACTAATTCCGGATGGTTTGATAGTGCTATGTTTGAAAACTACTTTGAAACAATAATAATTCCATGGGCTCTTAAAACTGCAGGTACTAAGGTTCTAATTTACGATAACTTGTCTACTCATTAAAGTAATAGAGCTATGTGAAAAAATAACATCAAATTTGTGTTTTTCTCTCTAATTCATTCAGCCACTCGACGTTGCATTTTTTGCACCTCTAAAAAGGCCTGGCGTAAGGTTCTCTATCCTTTTTGCCTTTTTGTTTCTGGGAACGATATTGTTTTGCATAATGTTATCGAATGTTTATGCTTTGAAAAATGTTTCTAATAATATTGAAAATATGCCATTTATTGCAATGTCTAGCAAAGATATACCAGAATGCCTGAAAGCAGAGAAAAACAAAGATTCAAAAAGGGTTAGAAAAGAAATCTAAAAGAAAAAAGTTAGTACGAGGTCGTACAGTGAAAAAAAGGAAGAATGCAATATCTGATAGTGGGTTTAGCTTGAAGTTTGATGATAATGAATTGAAATGGCTATATAGCTGAATGCCTATGGGATCACGAAGAAAAAGAGAATTTTGAACTCTCAGATACCCCACTTGGATTGCATGAAATTGATTGTTCTGCAGAGAACGAAGAAATTTTAGCAAAAGGTGACTAGATTTTGGTGTTTTTCCGGCAGTTAGAGTTACCGATAGGCAGTGTCCTCCGTGGTTGAGGCTTCCAGGTAAATGTCATGAGACAAAAAATCATTTCTTCTCTTCCACTTTTCTCTATCATCCGTCATCTTTATACCTACACTTTTTAAATACATTTCTCATAAATCCATCTACAACTTTTGCGACCTCCTCTGCCTTATCCTTCCTAATCATATGCCTTTTGCCTTTCATCATAATGTGTTTGAACCATGCTAATATTCTGCGCGTATTCATTACCAAATTATCCCCAATTTGAGAGTCACTGGTGCCACTTTCAGACTTCCTCTTATACACTAATTCCTAATTTATACAAATTAACGTAAAGAAACAGAAAAAATAAACATAAATTAGAAATTGTGGCAACAATGGGCAAAGTTGGCATATTTCACGGTAACAGACTAGACTGGATAAATAATTTTGATTTGATTTGATTTGTCGGGAATTGATTTTGGAACACTTAGATGGGGTGGCGAACATGATACTTTGAAACCGGCGTGTCAAGTAGATGTTGTATTTCTACTATACTAAGTAATAATATAAAGAGGTAGGTAAAGTTTCTAACCTTGTTTGTTTGTAGAGTTTAAGCTTCATAAAAAAAATCACACAAAATACTGGTCCGATAATGGAAATTACGCTAGTGACACGGGCTATTATTTAGGCGATCGAAGTCGTGGAACAGCTGGTAATTTATTTAAATACGTCAAAATACACATTCATTTTGCTAAATTAATGCATCGTAATTAAATTTTGTACATGACAATTTTCTCACTTGAACCGTAACTATAAATGATAATACCAATTTATTATACGTATTATTCTTAATTGTAAACAATAAATCTATCATTATCTATGAGGTCGGAGCGGTCAGTCGCATGTCGTCTGCGTGCCAAATACTACAATAAATTGTGCATTGAATCTGACTAAAATATTTGTTGAAAACTCACTAACTAAAGTAAATCTTTGAGCAATGGACCCGGAAAGACAACCTTTGCTGTATAATACTGATTTCCGGTTGAGGCGGTTGAGGTAAGAATTTATATAAAATTTTTGAAAGTGTATTTTTATGATAGAATCGTTGAGTATGCGACCTCTTTTGTGGAATCTAACAAAAAAAGTTTTGTAAGACAAGACACCCGGGTTCTGAATTCAGAATTTAAAGTTGAGCAAGTGTCAAAACCGTATTTAAGCCATCTTAAACGTCACTTAATAGTTATTTAAGATACGAGTACGGAAAGTAAGGTTTTACGGATAAGGGCCAAATTGGCACGAATTCGAAAAACCGTTTACGCTCAAGTTTCTTACAACCTTTTTTCATTGCTTTTTGCGAGGAAATAAAACAAATATATAGGTTAATAAAACTAAGTATGTATTAAAGGTAAAAATTATTTGTTGAAATTAAACGTGATATTTTTATTTGAAAACATTCGTTCTAGGCTCCTTGAAATACTTTTGCCTCTAAAGTTTGACATATTTTCATCAATTTTTTTAAAATTTCTTTGTTGCTCGACCAAAAAAAAAACTATTTTTAGCACGTGTGCAATTTTTATTTAACACGTGTTTAAAGACTCACTTTCGGTGTTTACAATGGATTAAAATAATAGCGCTTTATGAGCAACTGCATTGAAAACATGTTTTCTTTACTGATTTTTTTTAATGATCAGTTGATAGGAGTTTGATAATACGAAAAAAAAAACTTAATGAGAGTAATCAGTTGAGATTTTGCGCGTTTCTCGATTCAGAAACTGGCCGTTAAATAATTATTTTTATAATTTTATCAAAGAAAGTAATTCACTTTACACAAGTTATCTGAGAACGCGATTGTATTATAAATATTCATAACGGTTCTATAGTAATAATAGGTCTGGTGTGTTATCAACAGATGCAAAGTTCCAGAAAAATATCTCGAATATTCTCATTTGAAATTTTAATTTCAATGATCAGATAGTTAATGAGAAAAAGAAGCCTAATCTAACCAGTCGAATTAGATCCTAGAGCGTTGTTTGAATTTTAGTAGTTACGTACTTAAATTAGTTTGCAGTTGAACTAAGATATTGTTTTGTTTTAAATACTGTAGTTATTTTATTGTATTTGATCAATTTGCATTTACAATGGTATACTGGAAAAGATCCATTTTGTCCCTGGTACTCTGAGACGCGACTCGAACCCATGGTAACCCTTTTGCAATCCGGGCGACTGCTCTAACCACTGAGCTACCCAGGACCTAACAAAACTGAGGAATTTTGTGTTATGTAGTGTTCATGTTAATGCTAAGCCTGTATAGGTACAGGCTTAGGCGACAAACCAGGTTGTTGTGTGATCGATGTAAGATTTTCTCATTACAACTTCGATTAACCGTAAAAGTCGATATAATAAATGAACTTTTCTCTAGTACCTTCGTTGTTGCTTTAGTTACTGCATTTGGGAAAACTCATATAATAAAACATCCTGTTTTTGTTGCCTTATTTTAATCAGTTATACGCAAGACTGCAATTTTTCTAGAAGACGTCCTATAATAAACAGGCCCGAACCTAGGGGGGGCAAGTGGGGGCATTTGCTCCGGGCGCTAGTGTTTGGGGGGCGCCAAAATCATCCGTACCTACTTATAATTAAAATTTTCTCTAGCAGTTATTGACTTAAAAATCTTGAAGCGCGTAAAAAAATATGTGTTCTCCTCAATTACTGTTAGAGATAATTTTGATTATAAGTACTTTAACATTTACGTTATGAACTTGTGTTGCATAAAATTATTATTTATGTTATAGTGCGCACAAATAAAAACTCGTTAAAAAACTGTTTAATATTATTTTTTACATGTATATTATGTTTAATATCCTGTAGTCCATGCTCCTGCTGTCGATAACATAGACTATTGTTTCCTTTTCCAGACCCCTGACTCACGAAGAAGTATTGAATGCGAGGAACGAGGTGTCATGGCATCGCGCCCGCTTCTGCTTAGCCTTTATGTTCTGGGCGATAATGGCCATGTTCCTATCCATCGTCGTTTGCATATTGGTCACCACGCCGAAGTGTCGATCGTACGACGCGGATTTGTCTCTGACACCGTCTGTCCCACCAGTACATATGTCTTTCGCGCCGCTGGTAGCGAGTGGAAGAGCGGCGTATAACGATTTAACTTATACCACATAGGCATTTACCTTATTGTCCAAGACTATATAATCCCAGAGCCGACGTAACACTTCGAATTACTTGTAGTTGTAACTAGTTGTAACAATACTACGTTTAGCTGTGGGCAAATCGGATGTCTTTAAAAGAAGAGAGAAAACGCGTGACAAATATATTTGTTAGCAAGTTTTAAAATTGACTGATTTTTATGTTTTTATACACAAACAAGTCTTTTAGCTATAAGACCGCCTATCGTACTGTCTAGTGCTATAATTTTATAAGTACCTACAATAAAAAAAGACGTTTATTAGTGTGAATATATTTTTTATTAAATATCATAATTTTTGGGAACAAGGTACTCAAATAATTTCAAGTGGTTATTCAATATCGTGCCTCTACTGTATGTTTGTTCGTCTCAGAGGAATTTATCTTTTGAACTATAATAAGCGGACACATTGAATTGTTTTTGCACAATATGTGTTATGTTTATGTTACCAACGGTAAAATTGATAATAATTTCTATTATAGGAACAGTACTTGGTAGTTTTTACCTTATTATGTTAAAGATATTGTCATTTTTTTGTACATAAGATGTATTAGGTATAAGTAATGATGATTATTCGTGATAAAAAAAATTCAAAATTTTTAAGAAAAAACATATGAAATAAAATTCTTATTATATTACAATCATTATTTTATTTAAATTCAGATCTCACTTTATATTTATAAGATAAAAGCGTAATATAGAGTGAGTATACAAAATGTACAAAAGTCTTACGCTAATAACAAATTAGAAATTATATCTTATTACAACTCAACAAAGGCTAAAATGGCGTGTAGTTTTATATTATCAGTTTTCGCTGATCATTACTTCACTATTAATTCATTGAATGTTAGAACAATACACTACATTTGACCTATTATATAATAATAATTAATTAAAAAATCATTATAACAATTATTTATTTATCTGTTACTGTCGATTAAACAAAAACGAGTTAAGGATAATGAGATAAACTATTAATACTCGTGACAATATCGTAGTCAGAATTATTAATTCGTCGTTTCATGAATTGACTAGGTAAACTAAGAAAAAAAAAAATAAGCGTATATTAGAACTATTAATTTATCATATCTTGGGAATATCAATAAAAAAAAATAGTTTATATGAATTTTACGTACTAAAGCTAGTCATTTCATGTAACGGTGAATTCATAAATGCATTATTAATTAAAAATAACATAATAATAATAATTGAAACTTTGAAATGATTCATAAGAAAGTTGTATTACATTATATATCGAATTAATGTACTTTAGTACATTAAACACGACGCCAAAAGAAAAAAATCAATGAATTAAACTACAAAACCAATAACAGCAATTCTCCAGAGCTGGATATCCTAAAATACTATCTATACACATGTTTTCTAAATATCAACATTAGCATCTTGTCTTTGTAAAGTTTATATCGTAAAATAGTAATTTGTTTACGGTAAAAAATAATTTGTACGTATGTACTTCATTCTTAAAACTAAGACCCGCTGTCATGGTTAAATAATCTAGGCATTAGTGACGTAATAATATAATATCACGAGACTAATTTAATAGAAGCAGTAACGAAACGTTCAAACACTGATTTTCATTAATTTCAAAATTTATTAACACAGAAGTTTGAAAGTTTTATTTGTTAATATATGATTATAAATACATTGTACTTTCAGAGTTGTACAAGTCAACGTTCACCTTATTCTTATAACACTAAAGTCGATGTTTCGTTAATCACTAAAATATCTTTTCAGCACTATAAGTAAACGTTTTGATAAATCTCTGGAAAATATTTTGAGTGTAATTAAATCTTCCTTTTTTATTATAAACATTATTTTAATCTGGAACATGGAAACACTAAGCAACTCACCACGTTTTAGTTTCTTCAATTAATTTAAACCTTATAAATATGGAGCGTTAAGTTCAAAATCCAATGTGTTAATAAACTGATGTGCAGTAGCAGTTACCACTCTCTTGAAAATTTTGTTATGCACACGAACGCTATTGTATTAGTTAAAAACTCAAATGGATGTTTCCAATTATGATTTAAATCATTCCTCATTTTTTTTAATTAGATCATAAGATCTATATTCGATCAGTCCGGCAACCGGTCAAGTAATAAGTTTACAGAATGATTGCGTTATCGAATACAGTGCGTACAGTTGAGTCTCGTCATTGGCTCTATTTTGGTTGCTCTGTTTAGCTACCAACTTCAGTTCCTTCATAGTTTCTTCTAAAATAAACTGGTGTTTCGAGAAGCTGAAAACGCGAATACAGATATTTAGTCTACAATTACAATCTGGCATTTATTAATAAAAAAATAAAAATATTGACATTTACAGTATTTTGTTCAATAAGCACCACAATATATGCAACATTAATATTTAAAAAATAAAATAACTAATAATTTGTATAAACTTGTAACAATGCGTCGTACCACCGACCCTTTATATTGTCCTAGGTATCCGCATGCAAACTTTTTGTCTTTGATCTTCAATATAAATTATTTTTATTGTTCACTTTTCATAGTTTGAAATTTTGAGTAAACCAATATGCTTTTCATGAATGTCAGTTCGTGAAAATTCTTCGAGTTAGAAACATTATACATATTTAATTTTTATTGTAAAACCTGTTTACGTTATGCTCACGAGTTTGTATTAAGTGAAATATAATAAACCCGAAGAAAAGGTTTTTTTTTTGGTTTGCCATTATTAAATCAAGTTCTCAAGCTTAGTCAGCCTTTTATTCATTCGTCGAATTGGTCACTTATATAGCACTTTGCCTTCAGTGACAGTTCATTTTTATTGCATTGAATAGGCTCCGAAACTATTGGACCGATTTTAGAGATTCTTTCACCTACGAGAAACATTAACCATTATACTAACCTGTCGAATACAGGCTGGAAGGCATTTATCAAGTCTTCAGTGTTCAGAGGAGTTGAGAGTTGTGATGCCAACATACGAATCATTGGCGCGTCACATGCCAACGCTAGCACGTGAACTTTCACTCTACCGAGCACTGGCTGGAGGCCCAGATTAATCAGAATTGTGTTTATCTGTGTGCTGATCTGTTAGACAAAAGAAAAACAATTAACTTCCAAGTGAACATTATTTCGAATTATCTTCAAGGAGGACCTCAGGAAATAACTTTCCGGTACAAGGTTAAGCAACTTTCATAAGACTAAACATTTATCATCTCGAGTTTCTCCGTGCTTCGGAAGGCACGTTAAGCCGTTGGTATCGACCGCTCCAGTCTGCAGTCGTTCACACCCACCAATTCGATCTGGACCCATGTGTGTAATGGCCAGTATTTACTGAGTCCATCCAGACGGGGCCTCTACCGTGGAAACATTGACAGGCCAATAATGACGAAACATGAGTCCAATATCAAGCGACATTTCTGTATTTTTTTGTGGCATAAATTTTGGCACTGGTCTATTCCTTCGTCGAGAAAGGTGAATGCTTTTAAAAGCATGATTACAAAACTACCCTATTATATAAAGGCTTGACGGGCGTTGACTTTCCTTATGATCAGCATTGACCATGGGTTAAAAAACCGGCCACACGAGCAAAAAAACACGTTTGTTGTATGGGAGCCCCCTTAAATATTTATTCTATTCTGTTTTTTAGAGTTTTCAGTTGACACGGTAGTAGTAATACAGCATTTGTGAAAATTTCAATTGTATAACTATCACGGATCACGAGATACAGCCTGGTGCCAGATGGAGATACGGACAGCGAAGTTACAATAATACGGTTCCGTTTTACCCCTAATTAGGATTGACCAATTACAGAATCAGTCGATTCTGTCTTAAATATATTTAAAACAATAAGGACTAGATGGCGACTGTAGCAAAAGTTGATTTTTGCAGGAAACGAATGGACCAAAGACAGTCATTTCCGTTCCTTTTAGTAAACATATTGAAAAATTGAAATTTGAAAATTTCGAAACTTAGATATCAATACAAATACGAAAAAATACAAATAGAATATGAGTTGTTTATTGAGTTTTGAAAACTAATTTACTTTTAAACATGAAAGAAAACCGGAAGGGTTGTCATGGAGAAATCAAGAACGTACCGTAGCGACATCTAGTTTGATTTTGGCAACTAATGTTTTTTTTAATACTTCCTCATTGTATCGAGATCAAATCAGAAGGAATGTTAACAAAACTATTTTTTGTTTATTGATTGGGTGGAAAATTTCTGTGACGTCAACGTATATAATAAAAATAAATATCTTTATTTCCCCTCACAAATTCACATATTGCACTAGGGGCATATTGTTTTTTGTAGATTATTATACTTGTTTAGTTGTGGGAGACTGGTGTCTATAATAGGTTTAGCCTGAAATAATAAATCCCCAGGTCTTCATCCCACGAATGCACATAACGTTTTTATTCATAGAATCTAACCTGGTTCTCGCAATGCCTCTTAGAAGTCTTGGTCATTCTGTCGGTGGCCGTGATGAACGTGACAGAAGTATTTGGACCGTTCGACTTGTCGTTTTCATTCCAGCTGGTCGATCTATTCGTGCCACCTGGAAAAGATAAAAAGGGTGTTATTGTAATCGCATGAAAAAAAAAACAATTTTTATAACAGGATTTCAACATCTCGCGGAAGTGACCGCATGGTGTGCAAGATGCTAATACTGGAGGCCGGAAAACAATAAATTGTAATTACTAATGAGAAAATTCCATCCTATTTGTAAACATTATCTCAGAGATAAAACATAAATTTATAAGATTTTCTTTATAGAAAAAAAAAAAACATGGTCACCCCTTTTCACAGAGAAAATTGATGAGTATTAGCGATTCACCGAATAGTGGTTTCATCGAATACCGAATATTATTCGGTTTAACTTTTACCGAATCGGATATTCGGCCTAATTGTTTGGTTCACCATTTCACTGATTAACCGCGTAAAAAAGTTTAAAAACAAATGCTGATTTGAAGTTTTACTTGCTTTATTTTACTAGCTTTATTGAACACATTCTTTATGAGATTTATTTGACTTATAATATAACATAAATCTTACACAAGAAGTTTTGTGTTTTAATACTAAACCGTGTCGTAATGTCGTGTACTAATACTCGAACCGAACATATTCGGCGCCAAAACCGTATAATTCGGCCGTATATAAATAGTGAAATAGATGCCGTATACAAAAACAATATTCGACTTTAATGAATATGTATAAGGTACTTTTACAATGATTATAATAATTTCAGAATAATAAAGTTTTTTTTTGCAATTCGTAATCCTGTCTCTATCTATCTCATTGTAGGACGCAAAGTTGAAGCCAAAGAAGTCATGATTGATCCTTTTAATTCAATGAAACCATCTAGAGAAAACCTTTGCAAAAAAAAAAATGACAAAATCTGTTTATTATTGGCAAAGATAATAAACAGATCGTGGACAGAAAAAAAAAAATAGTTTTCGAAAGAAGTTATATTTATTGCTTACTTTCAGGAGATCGTATTGTGTCCGGTTGCAACTGTTGCTTCACAAAATCTAGGACATCTGTGTTTGACGACAACATATGTTCGCGCACTCTGAAAATTTAATAGACAACAGGAGCCAATTTAGTAGTGAAATATTTAAATAGCAATACAAGTAATATTTAGTAGAATTTGTAAAACAGAAACATGTGACAGGAGGGGGGGGGGGGGGGGGTTAAAATCATGAATTTTGTGTGACGTAATTTATGGACGGCCTCTTATAGTATTAGTATAGATAACTTATTTATATTTACTTGTCGTTGCCCCAGCATAACACCCGTACCGCTAGATCGTCTTGCTGCAGCACTATACCGGCCTTGCACATTTCGTGCGCATCCTCGCTGCTGGCCAGCCACGGGCAGCAGCTGAACCCGCCCGCCCACAGATCCCTCGCTAACTGCGCACGTCGCGTCGCTAATATACCTTCTTTATTACTACCCGCTGTACCCGATATGCATACACATATCAACGTTGACTGAGGACAAATAAATGTCTGAATTGTCTTATGGAAAACACATAAATTATGTTTACATATCCGTATCGGACTAAATGCTTATAAAAAAATCATATTATACAACCCAAGATTTTATAAACGATAAAACTATATGATTAAACCCTTAAAATATATATTTTTTTAATAACATGTATCAATATTAAGCTGATTATTGACAATTTGAAACAATTTTTTGACATAATATTATTTTCTGACATATACTACCTTTTTGTCATTTAAATTATATTGTTATTACAGTACTGATTACTAATGTAAGTTTTAAATAATTCATTGACATAGTTACATAACACATATAATTTTCTTAATTCATGTCATCAATATAAACGCTTTGACAACTAAATAAAAAATAACATAATTAGAACTTGACATTGGATAAAATATAAAAAATACTCAACCAATATAATGTTGATAAAAAACATTATTTGACTTTACTATTGTACTTTATAAATTTAAATATTTGTATTAATTTTCTAATCTCAAACTGAGAGATTTGTTTGATATATTTTTAATATCTGCCTGTCATTCCAAATTGTCTTGCCGTACCGGGTCATATGTTCACATGTACTTACTTACTTGTACCATCTGTTCTATGTTACATATGTTGACAATAAATGATTGAGTGTTGAGACTTCAATAAAAATTTGTATCCTATGTTTGAACATTGCTCTGGTTTTTTTACAAGTTATCGGGTAAGTCTACCAAGAAAGGTCTAACCAAGACATCATCTTCAAACTGGGCTAAAATACTATATTTGGCAAGCAAGAATGTTTTATGTTTGTGTTATTATTACCAATTCTTTCATTTTGCTATTTGTTATTATATTTTCATATTATGATGTCAAGCACTCTCAATCTGACATAAGGTACCGTTTAAGGGAAAAAATATCTAATTAATATTGAAACAGTTTTGGGTACATAAAAAGGCTTATTTGGTGGAATAATGTTTGTTTGTAATAATACTCATCTATAATTTTAAAGATATCTGAAAATGGTCCTATCCCGTAGGTATTATAAGTTATACAATCAGACAATATGATTAAATTCCAAAATAATTCTTCATGAATAATTCGTCACATCATCAGGCTATTAACGTCACTATTACTGGGGCGCAAGCTCTATGGATTGAATCGAGTCGAATAGGGAGAATGGGCCATGACCACACGTAGGCCCAGTGCATATTGATGGCATTAACGACAGCAGCTGCAGACAGGACCAACGGCTTAACGTATGTACCTTCCGGGCCACGGAGGAACGAGATAATAAATTTTGGGTCACCCATCCTATGACCGTCCCTTGTCAAAGTTGCTTAGCTTCTACATCGTAGTATCATGGAAACCTACCTCGATATTATTAACAGGAGTCGGCAATTCGGATTCCATCTTTTTCATAATGGCCGCCATCCTCTCCAAGGAGAGCGAGAAGCCCACCGAGCGACATTTCATCTCCGCATTATCGTTGGTAACCTTCCAGAAGTCTTCAACGAGGACATCATACCTTCGAAATGAAAACAAATAAAATTAGTAATTTGTCCACCGATAAGGCAGTATAAAATGAGACTCGACCATTTTATTTTTTCTGAGTATTTTTCTTTTGTTTCATAGACAGGTTGATATGAATAGAATACAATTTTGATACTTAATAACGACAACGACTTTGTTAACACACTGTATATCATTATGTGTAGTGACTTCATCTGTAGTAGGACTCTTGACAAAAACGCGAGTTTTTAAAGCTTGGTATTTTAGCATGTTGAAATAAAAGCATATTTCACAGGACCCAGTGCGGAGGTCCGGTGCTAGAACATTATGGTGCAGACTTTTGTAACAACTTCCGAGACGTGCAGAGTATTTTTTCTTAAATTGCTTTCAAAAAATCTAGTAATTCCGGCCAATTCACAATTTTTGGACGGGCCGAGTCACTGTGTGCCAGAATTATACGTTATTATTATTTTTATTGAGATGAAGCTTCTCATATAGAGCTCTGCTACCGGTTCTGAATACTGACTGATGTATGCAGTACTTCAACATACTGAGATATGAACCTTCAGAAAACTCTGTGTGTATCACTAATTACACATAGCTCTTGATAGATCTCGTACCTGCCTCCCGCCGCTATGACGTCACCGGATCGATGTTTAGCACTCGGCTTGTGATCCGCCTGCCTCACCGCAGACATTTGCCAGAACACGCCGCTGTGCTGCGTAGCGTTGTACGCTAGGAACGGCGCAACCGTCATCGGACACTGGACAAAAAAATTCCTAACATTCGTAGGTACGAATTGACACATGAATGCCTATTCTATTTCTCCGAAAACGAAATTAATGTCGTTTTCACTAACCTAGTACAAGGCATGGCTTATCTAGAATTACTTGATATTAAGAATAGCAACGACAAATCTGCTTAAGATTTGTCATTTCACCAAACCTGTACCGTTAGGTATTGTCTTATGAAGCTCTTGCTTAGGTAAGCAACGTTTTTTATAATGTACGGCATATATGCGTTTACACAATCCTACCAATGTCACTTCAATAAAATACACTGAAAAGGCAGAGCTCCCCACAGAGCATGTGGAGCTTAGGTGGAGAGTCCTTCAATATGTGAGGTTCGAAAACCTACACGTGCCAGCGACAAATTGGAGACAGGCATAGAAACTTAACTCGAAAGAGAAAGAGGCAGAAGAGGGTATACAAATAACGACATAAGGAAGTAAAAAAGCTTAAAGAGAGGATTAAGGTTAATAAGGAGGTTCCATTAGGCCTTACCTCACATCCCAGCGCCCTAGCGTTTCTATAGACCGATTCCAGATCGGCGAGCGCTTGCATCGCTGTCTTGTGCCACTTGGGTTGCTTCACGAGTGACGTCACCAACTCCCTCACTTCGTACACGGGCACGTCCGCCTCCATCAGACTGATCAAGTTGGCCACGTCATGGTCCGTTACGCATAAGGACGTCAAATGGGTCTGGAGTTGAAGATTGGTTATGCGACCTATACGAAACACATGTACATTACAATTATATACTTTATTCGGATTCATTTACAATGTTTCTGATATTGTAATGGAAAGTGACTTCATAGTCTAGTGAAGTCACTTTCCAAAGACTTCTCTGTGTGGAATAAAATAGGGACAAAATGCAGACTTTGCTGAGTTTGTTGTCGGGTCTTCTCAGTACAAGGTCTCCCATCGTATTTGCGAACCGATGGGATCGTTTTTGACTTTCGCAAATGGTTGTAACAGCCTAGACTGAATTAATGATAATGAAATTAAATCAGAACATGGAGTTGTCTTACCGAACCTAACGTCGACTAGCACGGGATATAAGTCGGCGTGTTTGTCCAGTGGCACTCCGCAGGACAGCAGCAGTATCCTGAGCAGCTCAGTGTGATTCAGCTGAAGGATCACTCTGAGAGTGCCCGCGCAACGGTTGGCTACCATTAGCAACTCGGCATCAGACCATAGTGAATCTACGAAAGTTAATAGTTTTGATAAAAAAATCAGCAGCACTGGCTGGCCCTCGAACCTATAATCTTTCCGAGCGACTCTCCGTTATACTAGAGTATACTTAACAAGACCGACGAATTTCTAAAGTAGTATCTTCATCAATGTTTAGGCAATCCACCCAAACAGCCGAAAGAATTGTTCAGGTGGATGAAACTACGCTCTGTAGAAGCGAAAAAAGTAACAAATGCTTGATAAAATGATGCTTTTGGCGCCCCCCCTAACACTAGCGTCCGGGGCAAATGCCCCCACTTGCCTTCCCTTGATCAGGGCCTGTTTATTTTAGGACGTCTTGTAGAAACATTGCAGTCTAACTGAGTTCAATTAGAAAACATCATACACCTACATTGTTCAAATTCCAAATGCAGTAACTAAAGTAACAAATAAGGTGCCACGACATCCACACCCAATACATTATAAAAAATATCATATTGACCTTTACAGTCAACATTTTTACGGTTAATCGAATCCGTGATGTGAAAATCTTTCATCGATCACACACAACAACCTGGTTTGTCGTACCTGGTTTGGTTTGTTGTTTGTACAGGTTTAGCATGAACACGAACAGTAAATAACACAAAATTCGTCAGTTATATTAGGTCCTGAATAGCTCAGTGATTGCGAAAGGTTCGAGTTCCGTACTAGAGTGCCAGGGACAATGTGGAATTTTAAGCAATTTTTATAAAAAAACAGTTTTCCAGCATAATATGAAATTGATCAAATATAATATGTCTAATGAATTTTTCTAGCTCGCTAGTGATAATTTTAATAACTCATGTAATATTTCCAATTTTGATCTATTTAATATTAGACCATCTTTAATATTAGTGCAAGAAACGCATTTAACAATGATTTTTCCAGTTGAAAACTCAAATTGTATACATGTAGGCGATGCTTAGTTCTTGTTTTATATTTTTGAGGATCTGTAACTGCCTATCTGCCTTCTATTCTCAATAATATTCCTGTTTGTTAGCTGTAGGTCTTTCTATGATATAATAAAATAAATGTACCTTTGCCAATTTTAGGAGTGACTATGTCAAAAGCACACTCTATGATCTCTCTCGGATGGAAACCAAGGATGTGTTTCTCTCTGTAAATCCTGTCGACTATGTAACGACGCATGTATTTAGTACCAGAGAATGCAATATACCTGGGGACAAGTAAATCAAATAAATAATTGTTATTCCCTTCTAACAAGTGTCACTTAAATTTAGATAACGTTAGGAGTTAGAACAAAGCCAAGAACGAACAGTAAGTTCCAATTAATATGGCGTATTTACGCAGAACAGCTCTACCAATTCCGACGATGACCAATTGTCAATAACCATAAAGTGAAAAACGCAACGAATTAGATGTCTGTTTCGCTAACACTCGGTGGGGGTCAGGCGCGTGGACATTGGTGGAACGCACGATGGCGTGAACTTATTTTTTTCTGATTGGCCTGTCATTTGCCGCGCTTCGAAATTTAGCTTTCCGCGCAACTATATCTGTGAACCATTTAAGTTCTGTCCTACTGTAATATTGCTTGCTACATGTCAGATTACATGAATAACATGAAGGTTTAAAATCAAACCAAGAATTTTGATAGATGTATATAATCATATAAAAAAAAAGAAATTCTATTTAGTCCGTCAGTCAGATATTATTTTTAGTTCTACTCACTGAAAATAAGAAACAGTTTAGATAATGGGCATTAAAGTTGAGGAGTAGGGGTCGCTACATCACAGTTTTGTAGAAAATACACTAAAGCGTGACGTCATGTGACATTTTAACTCAACGTGTCGCCTTCATCTAATATTTAAACAAAAAAAAACTTAAAATACGTGTTTAATACTCTTCAGATTATTGACCTTATTATTAATAAACGATATCGTTAATTAAATATCTTAAAAACAATGTCGCGATTCGAAATCTCTATCATACTTTAAATAGTTGTAGCGTGAAGTTCGTGAATATCAAATTGAAAATAGCTATTTTTTCATTAGACAACTAGGCCGTTGTTCTTAACTGTACATACAATAGGAGACATACCTGGCAAACGGTAATCTTAGATCGTGCGGTAAATGGCACACCGCCCCCGAAGCTGTCATCACTTTGACCGCATTCGCGTATGAATCCCAATATTTAGAGCGAGGCATCAATAATGGTGGCGAGAACTCTTTGGCGCCGTGACTTTTAAATACCTTATAATAATAAAATGAAAAGATAATGGGGATGATGACTGGGTAAAAAAAATGCAGTTCTATTTAGTCCGTCAGTCAGATAATAGAAAAATATTAGATACATATTTTTTTTTTCTTCAATTTAACAAGAAATAGCTTAGATAACAGGCATTAAAGTTGAGGAGTGGGGGCTAGCTACGTCATAGTTGAGTAGAAAACGTACCCTAACGTGACGTCATGCGAAATTTCAACTCCATGTAAAGCCGTAATTTTATGATTACGAAAGAAATAAAAAATACGTGTTTAATATTTTTTAACACTACCTGACGGACAACAAACAAAAATTAGTCATCATCCCTATTGTACTAACAGCCAGTTGCATAAACGTCCATTAAAATTATTATTATTTAAAAGCGACATTACCGATACAAATTTGACATGCAAAAGAGCTTAAAGGCGTCATAAAACCCATATTTTTGCAACTGACCCTAGTCTATCTAGTTTAATCAATTAACGGAGGGTAAATTTATATTTCTATACCAATATTACAAATAGGATAGATTTGGTTCTTTGTTTGGTTGTAGCGAACAGGCAGATTTTAAAAATTCTTTCACTTACGGGAAGCTACATCATACTCTTAGACATAGGCTATATTTTTTCACAAAAAAAATAAACAAAGTGATGAAATGGGAGAGGGAGTTTGTAGAGGGTATTAAAATGTTAACATAGTTTACTATAAAATTTGTCATTGTAATTATATCCATGATATGACATGATATGATATCTAAATTAATTATTAAATTATTTAAGCCGTTTACACAAGAGTAAATAATGTTACTTATACCTATTATAAAAGTGAAAGTTTAAGTTTCAATGTTTGTTACATCTTTAAACAAAAAAATATTGAACGGATTTTGATGGACTTTGGTAAACTGATAATTATAAGCCTGAATTAACATAAGGCTACTTTTCATTCCGTTAAACAGTTACATAGGAACCACGCGTGCGAAGCAGCTGGCGGAAAACTAGTTTATTATAAATATATAAAATTACCTGCTACAAACAAACAAAGAAAATTTACAATTAACGAATGATCCGTTAGTGTTTCATGAGACACTTCACGAATCTATCTTTGGATTCGCACCAATGCTTAATGTGTTCATAACAATTAAAGAAGTTTGAAAAGTAAATATTTGATAGGTATTATTGCCTTATTTACATTAAATACTTCTTAAAACTTACGTTGATCACAATGTCCTTGAGATTTTCCAATAATTCCGTCGGTTTACTTTTGACATCACCATGATAGGTTATATCTTCTGCCGCGGATAGCTTTTGGTCTAAGCATGCGGTTATGAGGCGCTGGTAACATCTAAGTAAAATAATTACAACGCAAAACTAAAATAAACAAAATAAGGGGTCGGTCAATTATTATTCAAGGTATAAAGGTGGTGGTTATGAAGGTAATATTTTATTATTAATACGCAAAATTTAGTAGATCCTTTGAACGTTATAAAATTACCATCTTCTGCTTCATATAATTCTCAACTTTATTAGACTGTTTCGAGTATTCAGTTACATAGATATAAAAATAATTGAAAGAAAAACAAAAATCATTAAAAAAATACAGTAAAGAATTAACTTAAATAAAAACTAAAAAGAAAGAAACAAGCCCAGTTTAGAATTCTGTTAAGTAATACAGAACAGAACGACTCATAGTCGGGGCCCCTTGGGAAGATTTGATTGGTAAAATTTGAATGGGCCACGACTATGAGTCGTTCTGTTCTGTATGAGTGTGAATGCAGGAGTTTCAAACATGAAATACAATTATGAACATTTAAATTATGAAACAAGTCGATTAAAAATTAAATTAAAAATGTATTTTATATAATATGTGATAATTCGTGATACCATGGTATCATGTTTCTTGCACTGCCATTAATAAACAAGGTTTAGCGTCAGAGTAAATTTAGAACAAAATTGCACTTTAGTGTTAGTTCAAATTCATATTATACAAAGAATAAACACACACTATCTTCTAGGAGTAAATGTTACTCCCGTAGCACCTCGTTCTAGGTTAACCTTTTAGACTAATACTAAGTGCAGTCTCAGCATGAATTTACTCCAACGCTAAATCTCGTTTATTAATAACATTGTAAATGATAACTCACCTAGCACCTCTATCGTTAAGCGTATGTGCTAAGAGGCCAGACAAAGCTCCCTCTGGAACAGGACGCGGTACATGCTCACTGGCCAATAGTTCCGCGCAAGTTGGCCTGACACTTGCGTCATGATTCAACAGCCATCTACAAACGAAACAATAAACTTTGTTGATACTTAATGTATTTTCAACCTTATCCTATGGCGATCATTCTTAATGTATTTTGAACTTTATTCCTACACAATAAGGTTATTTTATTCATCGGATTAGGCGACACTATTGTTTTTAAATGATTTTTATATGGATATGACTTCAGGGTTAAATAGTTTGGAAGTTGTTCAGAATTTTAATAAAAGGTGACTTCCTACTATTGGAGTTATTCTGCAATGTAAAAGTTCTTTATCGCACAAACAAGGGAGAAATGTCACCTCGTTTGTTTCTTGTCGGTTCTTTTCAATACAGTGTTCCTATAGTCTTACGACATTCAAAATTGCGTGTTTACAACCTAAACAGAACATACCAATTTGTTTTGATACCTATAACTAAAGAAAACACAAAAAGTATTTTTGATAACTTACACCAACAAATTACATTTTAAACACAATATCACAGGTATATCCATACTAAGACTTCGTTAGTAGCAAAACTAATTTGATTATAAGAGATATTTTAATGTTATATACCATTTACTTAATACAGTCAACGTCAGGTTAATACAAAAGTGTCAAAATTTTTCATTTAATTTTAAAACTTAATAATTTGAAGGTAGACTTCGAAATCAATCGCGGATATTGGACATATTGTGGTAACCAGACGTACAGATATTTAAAGCATAAGCAGGATAAGTACATATGATTTATTACATATTATGAATCTTGTGTAAGATATCGTGTAGGTAACCCTGTATATTAGTGGACTGAGTGAATGAAACTTACTTAATAACATGTAATTGTTTCGAATGCTCCTCTGTATCAAAATTTTTTGGTATGACTATATCTTTGGTTCTCAAGTTAGTGAGCACCTTGATCCTCTCACTGCCAGTAGATAGTGGCGGATGGAACATCTCAAAGAGAATGATGCCCAGGGAATAAATGTCCACCTTCTGATTGTATATCACCTTGCCGACCGCTTGTATAAGTTCAGGAGCCACATATAAGGCCGTGCCTACCTGAAATTACAAATTCCAATGATATACTTATTTATATGAGTGTAACGGTGCGTCATACAATATTATTTTGTCCTAGGTTCCCGCATCGAAACTTTTGTCTTTGACCTTAAGACCGTTTCTTTTTTATTGTTCGCTTTTCGTAATTTTATATTTTGAGTAATGCGATATGCTCTTTCTGAGTGTCAGTTCATGAAAAGTTTCCTAACAGTAACTATATGTGTTATGATTGTATAAAATTTATAAAATAAAAATATGTTTAAAGTAAATATATCGAAGTTTTACATATTAATGAAACCCAGAAACGGAGTATATAATTGTTTTATAAGTAATTATAGAATTCCATAAAGAATTTTTTATTATTTTAATTTTGTTACAGTTTTTATTTATACTATAAATATACCTACTGATAAGGTCTAGTCAGCCGTTTCATTAACTACCAACACCCAAACATCGAACCCGTGACAAGGGTTGAACAGAGTTCTAGATAAAATCATTCATGAAACAGCGTAGAGATCTTCATTCATGAGTTTACTAAATGAAATTTAGTAGTACATAACCTAAATGTGATAATTGGTCATAGAATAACCAAATATTAAATGTCTCTATCTTTTCGGTGTTCTGGACGGCACATTCAGTCGTTAGTTAGTCCCGGTTGCAATTGAAGTCCATAACATCCCATCACTACATACTGGGCCGGTACTCATAGCTAGAACCGTTCTCAAACGGCCCTGGTATATTAATAGAAAGATTAGTGTGCATTGTGCAGTATTATGCATCAGTAAATAGTTTCAGATTTCCCCGACAAAAGGATTTTAGCTACTTAGAATGAAAGTAATGTAATTTTGCCGGATTAAAGCTCGTTCGTTTATATAAAGTTACCATAAAGTAGCAAAACAAAACTTATTTTATTAACTTCTTAAAAGAAATACAAGAAGAGAGTAAGAGAGATGAGAAGAGCCAACAGAAAATAGGATTATTATAAAAGAAAACAAGCGTACTTACTTGACCAGTCATTTCTTGTTGTTGTTTGGATTTATCTGCAATAGTAACACATAATTATGAGACGGCGAATAAAACAAAGTCGCTTTCTGTCTCTATATCCCTGTGTATGCTTAAATCTTTAAAACTACACAACGTATTTTGATGCGGTTTTTTTTATACAACGTGTCCCAAAATTCAACGATAAGCGGGCGCCAAGAGGTAGACCTGCTCATGTGTACTAATGGAAAAATAAGAAAAAAATTATATCTTATTAATCTTTATTATAAGATTAAATTCGAAAATTTATAAAATACATTTTCATTGTTTTTTGTGTAAAAACTGCGGGCATTTTGGTGTTTTTAAGAGTTGTAGCGAATAGTAGTGCTACTTAGGTATCCGATACCAAAAAAAGATTGAACATAATTGAGAAGTTGTGGTCGTGGTAGTTGAAAATATCATAAAAGGTGTAAATTTTCGAAGATTTTCGAATTTTATTTTATAATAAAAAAGATTAATAAGATATAATTTTTTTCTTATTTTTCCATAAGTACACATGAGCAGGTCTACCTCTTGGCGCCCGCTTATCGTTGAATTTTGGGACACGTTGTATAGATAGGCTGATTCAAAAGGAAGGTTTTTATGTATCTTCATAAGACCACGCGGACGAAGCCGCTGACGGAAAGCTAGTTCTGTATATTAAGAGATTGAAAATATTTACTTATCTGTATCTAAAATAACGATGTGTTTGCATGATATTAATACAATATTCGTCACAATATACAGCGTTTGTGATTCAAATGAAAAAAATATTAACTAACCATCTGCAGGCAGGCCCGTCAAAGCCTTCGTCGCCAATCCGAAATCGCCAATCTTCACGTGATCGTTGGAGTCCAAAAATATATTGACCGGCTTCAGATCCCTATGTATCATGCCCCTCTGGTGGACATGGGCCAAACCTTCAACGATCTCTCTGAACAGTCTCCAAGCACGGAAGTGTTCTTGGAATAACCCATTGTCTATGGCATGACGGAGAGTGTGTTTCTCGCAGAATTCCATTTGTATGAACAAGACTTGGTGCAGAAGGATCGAATGAGGTCTTGGAGTATCGGGGGCATCTGCGGACGGTATAGTCTCTGATGGATTGGAGGCAGCTTGGAACTCTATACCGCTGCTTCTCTCTTCCGATTTCTCTTCGGTTCTAAAAATCATAATAATTGTTTTGCTTTCCATTTTCAGTACAGAATGAATGGGAAAAGTTTTGACGGTTTGTCATATTTAATGCTATAATATTTAGTACCTTAAAGTCGTGATTTCTACATGAAAGAGGAACAGCCAGCATATATATTTTTTTTGTCAATCTAGTAGTTTTTTGCTAACTACACATTTTTATCCAAAATCTGTGAATGCATTTATGGATGGTTTCTTTTGGACGCTTTAATGTAACTATAACTTAGTAAGGTACCTGACTTTACTGTCTAATCTTAAAAATCCATCCCGTATACAATAGGCATGATAACATTTTTTGGTTTCTGTCCATGAGAAAGATTATTTAATATGTATTTTTCTTTCGTAATCATTAAATTACAGCGATACATTGGGTTATAATGTCATATGACGTCATGTCTTTGTACATTTTCAGCAAAGTTGGGTACCACTCCTCAACTTTAATGCTTATTATCTTAACCATATTTTGTTTAAATCGAGGCAAAAAAAGTATGTATCTAATATTTTTCTATTATCAGACTGACGGTTAAATAGATCTTCCATATTAGGGGCGATCCACACGATTCAAATCACAGCAGGAGCGTTCTATGTGGACATTAGTTCTCACAATCCAAGGTGAAAAATTATATTACATAATACGAGTTCAGTAGTTTGTTTCGCTGGCTCGCTAGATCGCTCAATCCAAATTGGTGTGGATATGACTATAGTTAGTTTCTAATTCAATTTCACAGGAAAGTACATTATATTAGTTCCATATACTTACTTAGTGACGTTATACCACGGATTTCGCTCATCATCACTGTCGTCATCACTGTCATCATCGGCATCGCCTTCGCTCTCGCTGTCCGTAGACCGGGGCTGGGTACCTTTGTCTGATATTGACCACTCCACCTTCACTTCCTGACCCAATTTGGCGACTACCTCTTCCAGACTATCTGCTTTCTTCCTTAAGAAAAAAAAAGCTTTTCCTTGTCATTCCTATCAAATCACATTTTTTTTAAATACGTACATAGCCCATCAAAACTTTCTTAGAATAAGAATTAATAGATATAAATATATATTAAAATAAGCTTCTTAATAAAAAAACCGTTGTGTAGTAGTCGCTACACTATACAACAGTTTGTTTTGTTATTTTCATTTCATTTTGATTTTATTCATTCATTTTTCATTTCATCAGTTTTTTAACTTATTTTTTTATTTAATTTATTTTCGGGAGTATTGAAGCAAAATCGCAAGCAACTTATCAATATATATATTTGAAAAATTAAGCGCTCTCATTTGATAGCCTACATGGAATGATTGAATATATGTTTTAGATTCTTACTTTATACTCTCTCTCTATTTTCATTAATTCATTGTATTTAAAAACTATAACTGAGTAGCTCGGTGGCGTAGTGGATAAGCGCCGCAGCCCGCGATCGTAGTCGTTAAGCAACTTTCGCAAGGGTCGGTCACGGGATGGGTGACCAAAAAATTATTATCTCGAGCTACTCCGTGCTTCGGAAGGCACGTTAAGTCGTTGGTTCCGGCTGCATTTGCAGTCGTTAATACCCTCCAATCCGCATTAGGCCAGCGTGGAGGGTCATGGCCCATCCTCCTTAACCATCCATAAGGAAGGCCTGAGTCCCTGCAGTGGGGACGTAAAAGGGCTGGTGGTGTGATGATATAAAAAAAATAAAAAAAACTTACTTTGTGGGAGGTTCCACAGTACTAGCTTCTTCACTCTCCGGCGCTTCTACTGTCGACTCTATCCAAGCGTTGTAATATCTCACCACATTCTCGTGGTTGAGACGAGACAACAGTTTCACTTCCCTTGTGATCTTCTTGTTCAATTGGACGTTCTCGGGGTTAAGTTTAATCCGTTTTATTGCATAGAAACCACCGTCCAGTTTGTTTTTCACCTGTAGGTTTTAACGAGTTGCATTAAACAATTTCAAATAGTTATATATATGTAAGTAAATAAATATTATTGCTAAAAACAATATTACAGTCTATAATAGGTATGATGACTAATTTTTGTTTATTTGTCCGTCAGGTAGAGTGTTAAAAAATATTAAACACGTACTTTTTTATTGTTTTCGTAATCATAAAATTACGGCGTTACATGGAGTTGAAATTTCGCATGACGTCACGTTATGGTACGTTTTTACGTTTTCTACTAAACTGTGACGTAGCGAGCTCCCCACTCCTCAACTTTAATGCCTGTTATCTAAGCTATTTCTTGTTAAACTGAAGAAAAAAAAAATTCGTATCTAATATATTTCTATTATCTGACTGATGGCCTTAATAGAACTGCATTTTTTTTACCCAGGCGTCATCCCTATTATTGTCTTTTTCCCTATACACGGTGTCCGTTGGACACTTCTGGTCAGTTACGTTTGAAAAGCTTAACCCAGTAGGCTTTTTTTGTTAAGGGTTAAGCTGAAAATTTTAGATACCTGGTGTGAATATTTATTTGCAAATAAATATTACTCTGAACGATAAGTTGACTCAGTGACTATGAATAGCCTAAACTATTGAATCTAACAGTTTATAGAAATTCAGGGGGCTAAATTATAAAGTGAAAAATTTCTACACTTTTAAAGTCCAAATCTAACAGATTAAGTTTATATGATTGAAATGAAAACATCCAAATTAAGGTTTCAGGAAAATCACTCTCTGTGTGTTGAATAGCACAAGTATTTTTTGCAGCAATTTGCACTCTTATACGAGATTGTTTTATAAGTACCTTGACGACGTCACCAAAGGCACCTTTCCCGAGCCAAGTGAGAACTTCGAACTCATCATTTAACCGAGAATGGCCGTCTGTAGGCGGACTGACATGATGGATCTTCTTAACTTGATCATCATCCTAAAGCAAACAATGGTTATGATGACAAAGATGATTTTCTATTATAAAATCTTGAAACACTCAAACGCATCCTTAAAACTATTGCTCATAAGGTTTGAATTTGTTAAGCAGTTATACCTCGGAACCGCTGCCTTCATCTTTTGATTTATCTCTGGGTTGCTTAACGGGCTGATCGACTAGGAAACCGTGGTTCACTAGCTGTTCCGCGGTCCATTGGGAATGTTCATCATCAGTGAGACATCTACAATCAAAAATAAATGCCGTTCATTTACGTACATAATCAGTGAATTAGGGGATGAATGATCCATGAAATGTTACGATCCCAGTAGACATCCGCGTAACTGAAGTACTGATTCATCTGTCAAAACGAAAGCCTGAATGCCTCGTCAGGCTCATTGATCACGTAGAGCGTCAGTTAACTAAAGACCTGATTCATCTGTCAAAATTAAACCCTGAACTGAAGCCCTAGGTTATCAGTCATACTGGCAGAGCGTTTCATTTGGCAGATCACTCAGGGCTTCAGTTACGCGGTAGTACCGCTGATCAGTTCACAATACAGACAGAAAATGATTTCTTTTTAATGTATATTATTTTTTTACCTACTAATGTGTTAGTATTTATTCCAAGACATTTCGGCTACATAATGCTTTTAATGTAATTTGAAACTAATGCAACAATAAAACTATCACACAATTACTGTTAATACTTTTATACAAGTATGAGTTACTTTTATTCAACATGCAATAATTGCAAATCAATTTTGAAAAAAAAAAAATCTGCTCGCCCATCACCGAAAATTATGTTTACCTCGAGAAAAAATCCTTTGCTGAGCTTGGCAAGTTTGGTGGTATTTCATGAATGGTTCCTTCGTAACTTAAGATGGATAACAGAACTTGCGCTGCTGCGTATATGTCTTGCGCTGGAGTCTGTCTGGAAAATTACGCAATCATTGTCAATATGTTTTTTATAAACTTTCATGGTTATTTTGAATGTTACTTCGTGATCATGACGTTTGAAATTTTAACTATTATTACAATCATTCTAAATATGAAAGTCCTCTATGATATAAACAAGATGAGTTTTTCTACATAAACATTGTCAATTTATGACTAAAGTCGATTTTTGGCAGCTTTTGCCTAAATTTAATGACATCCCATCTCAAAATCTTCTTTTTAACTGGGAAATTTAATTTTAGAACGAAATGGATATGATATTATAGTATGTTAGCAACACTGTAATATATGAAAATAATGGTCCTGTTAAAGCCATGAGATTCGGCAAGATTATATGGCTTCAAGGAGAGCCATAGCTTCTCCTGTATATACAGAAGAGAGAGGAGGAATTTTGAAACTTAACACTAATTTCAAAATCTTATTTTGTAAGTAGAAAACAAAAGACATCTAGGTCTTTCTAATGTAAAAACATTAGACTTGAACAAAATTTTGTTAAGTCAATCTGTATGTTCATAAGGTTGAAATTGTTCTGTTGGCATGTTTATACTTATGTTAAATTAAATTATGTTTTTAATAATACACCCAAATTAATGACATTCAGACATATTACTTACCTACTACAAAAGTCATCACCTTCATGCATTTCCGTAAACCTTGCATCTAAGCTGGCACCGACCAACTTGACCGCACCGAGCACGTCCACAAACACATTTTCACTTCTGATGTCTCTATGCACAACACTAATACTATGTAACTTTTTTAGTGCCTCAAAAACCCCCACTCCTATGTTCCTAACGAGTTTCAATGCTTCATATTTATCACTGATTTTACACATAGTCAAGAAACATTTCAATGAACATCCATGTACGTAATTTCTGAACAAAAAGAACGTCATTTTTCCTGTCCGTTTGGTTTCTTTCACCATTTCCATGGCAAAATATGGCACTATAGACGAATGATTTGTTCGACACAACACTTTTAAGTCTTGCTGAATACATGACAACTGTCGGTTTCTCATTTGAAAGTCTGATGCTGGAGATATGGTCCACTTTTTTGAGATCAATCGTTCGCCTGATTCATCTTCTATTGCCAGATAGGTTGTTGCACCATTCGATGAATGTCCTGTTAGTAAATTACAATAAAAATAAACTTTAATACAATAAACTTAAGATCCAAAATGTATAATACAACTTAGAATAAGAAGATTACCTAAACAATTTCCAATGTAGACTTTTCTGTTGTTCTTTTGAGATACCCTAAGCACTTGTGTACCTTTCATGTTGCAGGTACACACAGCCTCCACTTTGTTTCTATGTATTTTTTTAGCTGGTGATAATTTGATGTCTGCATAGCTGAGACAAAAAGAAAACTAAGTGATAATAAATTAAATCTGAATAGAATAGAATAAAATTGATCTTTATTTGCGTCAAACATGGTATTTAAAGTTTTACAAAAATAGGCAGTTCAACATGTTTCGCTATTCTTATTAGCATGCAAATATATTAATTTATTACAATACAATAAAAATAAAATAATTATTAAAAGATTATAAATTTTGATATAAATGTGAGATTAAAAGAGATGTGAGATTAGTATTAAAATTAATAAAATTTGTCTTTGTTAAATTCATTTGTAAATTATTATCTTCTAACCATCCGCCGATAGCTTCTACTGCGTTATTGATGTCAATTTCATGATCTTTAACATTAATATTACCAATTTTATCACTTGACCTTACTGTAATGGAAATGTCATCGGCAAATAGAACGCAACTGTGGTTTGTTACTTCTGGGAGAGAATTTATATAAATTAAAAATAAAAATGGTCCTAATACGCTTCCTTGTGGCACACCACATTCGTTGCATCTATATTCTGAAGTAAATGATACTATTTCATTTTTTTGGTTAAGTTTTGTAATTACTACACTTTGATAACGATCCTTTAGATAAGAGCAAATCAAATCCAAAGGAAGACCCCTAATTCCCGCGGATTCAAGCCTATTTAAAAGCGTGTTGTGCTGAACAAAATCAAAAGCCTTGCTTAAATCAAAAAAGACTGTCGTTGTGGCCAATTGTTTATTTATACCTTTTAATATAGATTTTACTAGTGTGAAAATAGCAGTAGTTGTTGATTTATTTTTTTGGAACCCATACTGTTCAGGTCGAATTATATTAAATTTATCGCAAAAGTCCGACAATCGACTCAACATACATTTTTCAAAAATCTTTGATAGTATTGAGACTAATGTAATAGGACGGTAGTTCCTAATGTCAGACTTTTCCCCTTTTTTAAAAAGTGGCCTAATTATGGACAATTTTAATATATTTGGATATATCCCCGTAGAAAATGATAAATTGATTAAGAAAGTAAGAACACTAATAAATTTGTCTATGCTAGCTTTTATTATTTTTGTAGATATTTCATCATGACCCTCAGCATTAGTATTATTTAAAGACATGACTTGTTTCTTTACTTCAGTGTCAGACATTGGCATCACAAACATTGAATATGAATTAGTTTTATATATTTTGTCCTTATGTGTCCTGATAATACATACATTACATATTACAAGCATTATCCAGTCTATTCATTGTTCCATTAAATATGCATATATTTTATTATGTTAAATGTTATATGCTTAAATTTAGAATGTACCAAAATGTAAATTTCAAACTTTATCTAAAGCTATAAAAAAGCAAAACAAAAAATAAATAAAAATTTCAAGTCACATATGGTTATTTTTTGTTTGAAAATACAATTTAGATATTATTATTAATGAACAATTTAATATAAATAATTTTGACTTATTGAATAGCGTAGAATAGCTTTTGCCATAGTTTGTAGTGATCTCGATTTTTGGTAATTTTGCTTAAATAAACCCAAAATAGCAGAGATTTACGATTTTCGAAAAATGTGCTAAGACACTCTTGAGTTCCTGTATTGAGCTAATGTTCTAAACAAAATGGCGTCATATTTCCGCCATATTGAATGTTTAAAAAAATAAAACCAATGTCACTTGGGATGATTCAAAAACGTTAATTCTTTTAAAAGTTATGGTGGAATTAAAAAACTCCCATACATACTTATTATTATATTAATCCTAAGCACAATATACTCAATCTCTCGGTCAGTCGTGTAAAATTGGACAGTAATAGAGATAACGAAGCAGCCCATAAAGATACTAAAACAATATACAAAAATTGGGGAAAAGTATCAAAATAGCTTGCTCGTACTCTCAACACAGTATAATAGAGTACACACTCAACACATCACACGACGTAATTTACATGAAAATTTTTCAATTTTTCACCTTGTATTATAGATCCTTGGTGTTTTTTATATGGTCTTAGCATTTATGACGATTAAAGTACCTATAAACATCAACTTTACGTGTTTAGGTTACTATCGGCGTACTATTCTATAATACTATGGTATTGTGAACTAGTGATCGTAGACACGTGGTCGAGAAGTTTCAAATAAGTAAACTCACAGAGTCCAAATTTGTAATAGGGCTCTTAAGTAAAGTAAGGATTGTACTACATCTACCATCTCGGTATCGCCTTTTCTGTTACCTTGCCCTTTTCGCGGACCCCTATCTTTTTCTCTCTAGGAAAATTGCAGTTCTGAGGGATAGAAAAGGTCCGGACTACAGGAAAAGATACGATGCTAATAGCTATATCCTAGGACACTTACAAAACCAATTCTGGGGCGTCTCCATGACCATTATTATCTTTCTCGCTTGGATTATTTTCTTGACTAGTGCTCGTCCGATGAGCTCTTTTATCAGCATCCCGGAGCATTTCTTTCCGTTTCTCTATTTCATCTTTTATCTTTTGACGCTGAAATGTTAATCAGATGCAAAATATTAACATTGCTCTTAACAATATGGAGCCATACATGCATGCATTTCAACTATCAATGTCAGAAAATAATACGAAAATATATATAATTTCTTCTTTTTACACTAAAGTTATAATCGTGGCGTTAAGCGCAGTTGTCACGGAGCGAACCATGCTCCTCCTTGGTTTGGTGCTCCCGGCGATGCAACATTTACCAGATGACATATTAATGAGACCCTGGCTTCATGTAAGAAACTTCTGTCTCAATGTGACGAGTGATTTAAAAACCGCCATAACATTCATTTAGTATACTTTTACAATACGGCGCAGAGTGCTAGTTTCTCTATTATCTAATGCGAAACACATACGAATATACTATTTAAATTATGCGCTTCGATATATTTCCTGTTTACGAATTTAACCGATCAAGAAACCAATGTGTGATCGTCGTTTTAGCCGCCAAAAGTCGTCAGGACCTCGACTGTGATGGAAGTGACAGCACGCAATATTTCAGTATTAAGAATTTTATAGAGCTGTAATACACCAAATTACCTTATTTGAATATAGGAACTTAATTTATTCCTACATAATTTTCAAGGTATTGTGGAATGGATACCAATTTAAAAAAAAGGAAAACCTATAAGCGTTCAGTTCCGTGAAATAATATACAACGTGTACCTGTACTTTTTAACAGAAGACCACGCAAAGCCACTGACATATCCAGACGATTTCTGCGAAATTTAATAAGGGACAAAGAAAATAATGGTAGGTCTGCATTTAACACACCTAAAAAAGAAAGGCCAAAGAATTTCAGGTTAAAACTGGACTGTTTTGATTACAGTGTGATTAGAAACATGGTATACGACTTTCATTCAAGATTAAAGGAAGTTCCTACTGTAAAGTCTTTAAAAATTAAACTAATGGACGCTATTGATTTCCAAGGATGTGCATATACATAAAGAAAAATTCTTAAAGATGGGGTTTAGATTTATGAAGACAGAAAATAACAGAAGTCTCCTTGCAGAAAAATCTGCTGTACGCCTAAAAATAATTGAATATATTAAGAAAATACAGGCTTTAAGAGCTGTCAAAACAAATATTGTATACATGGATGAATCATATGTTCATACTTCTCACACAAAAGGCAAGTCTTGGCTTGATAAAAATAAAAAAGGGGTTAAAAAAACAATTTCCAAAGGTTGACGCATTATTATCATACATGCAGGTTGAGAAAGGTTTTGTACCTGGTGCATTACTACTAGGTAAATGTTTGGATTCTGATGGAGATTATCATCAAGCAATAAACACAGACACATATCAAACTTGACTCCACAATCAACTGATTCCCAATTTACTTCCAAACAGTGTGCTAATAATCGACAATGCACCATACCATAACCACGGTGACCTGATATGATAGCTTGGCTGGAGCGGAACCATATTCCTTTTGACCCTACATTAACAAAGCCTGAGCTATATAAAATAATATTGACTCATAAAGAAAGTTTGGCTGTATTTACCATTTTTGGCTTTTGGCTGATTTTAACCCCATCGAGAATATTTGGTCTCAAATAAAGGGACACGTAGCGAAAAAAAATGTTGCCATGAATGTGACCTCGGTAAAAGAACTTATGTTAGAAAAAGTTAACATGATAGGACCCAACAAATGGAAGAAAGTATGTGATCATGCTATCAAGTGTGAGGATGAGTACTGGAAATTTGAGCCTGTGTTTGATAACCATTCGGATAGATTCATTTTAAACATAGGTTCCAGCAGCGATAGTAATGATTTTGAGTCTGAAATGTCGGGTACAGAAGTCATATCAAATTGTGACTAATTGATAAATTTATATTAATTGATGAAAAAAAAAACTGTTCTACTTACTGGTGTCAAAAACTTATTTAGTTAGTACAACCAATTTATCTTAATTCGATTTTCTTTAATCTGGGGTTTTCATTTTGGTTTCAGCAAGAAACACAGTATACTTTATTTTTAAATTGGCTGACCTAATCTAAATTTAAGCGAAATGATTAATTATACAACTCTATATAGATATCTTTAAAATACATTAGGATTGCCGAAGCTTGACGAATATAGCCGAAGCGCATAATTTAAATAGTATATGTGTACACACATAATGATATAATGATTTTGGATATTAAAAAAAAAAGAAAATAACTGACACCTTGTTTCTGAATTGAGAATATAAAGTTAAGCATGTCTCAAACCATACTTAAGCCATCTTAAATGTCACTTGAAACAGGTTTTTGATTCTGATTTGAATTTTTTAATGATCAGTTGGTAGCAATTTATTACAACTAGGACTTTTTGCCATGTGAAACGTAAAAACTCAAGTTATTAAAATAATCAGTTGAGATTTTGTACTTTTCTCAATTCAGAAACTGACTGTACTTGTTTTAATACCTCCTCATTTGTTTTGCTTTGGATATTGTGTAATTTCGACTGTTCCATCTCTCTCTTCTGAATCAGCATCTCTTCATAGCAAGAAAGTATAGGTTTGTGGTGATCATGGAGGAATTGCTGAAATATACATTTAATAAATAAATGATAGTAAATGTAGGGCCACAATTAGTATAATTGAAGAAAATCAATAGATGCATGTAAAAACAATAATTAATTGTATATTACCTGAACATGTTGACTTAATTCAAATATCATAACTTCCCCGCAGTGTTGTGATGCTAAAGCTTTCAGTTCTGATAACAATTTATTACCATTATCGGTTGATAAACCATGAATTTTCTTGAAGGATATTTTAGGTGGTCTGAAAAAATAAAGGAAATTTAATAGGAAAACAAAAGTCAGCTATTGTCAGGCATACTTTTTGTAAGGTTCAACAGTTTTCTCTTTAGGTACCTATGTGCTTATTCATTTATTAAAAACAATTTCTTTAAATTTATTTTGAATAGTTATCAATTAATGATGTGGGTATAATCACTATGTCAAATGAAGGAAATCAGTAAAAAAACAATATCTATATCATAAAAATGCTATATATTAATAAAAAAAAAAGTTCAAAAACTAAAACCCGACTATGGCTAAATCACGCTTTTAAAAGTTTGAGACAAGAAATTTATTTTATAGGGATAGCTACATTATAATAGCGATGACCAAAGAACAGCATAGTCGTATGGCATAACAAATTATTTTGTTATGATCAGCTGTAGCTGGGTTTTAATTTTTATTTTTTTATTTAAATAATTTTCAGGTGTATTTAAGCAAAGTCGCAAGCAAAAGTTATCAAATATATATTTTATATATTTGAATGTTCTAATTAAGCCCTTTCATTTGATACCCTACATGGAATGATTGAATAATATATTTATCAGTTTCTTACTTTATGCTCTCTAGAGAGCACTGTTGACAATTTAATGTGACGTCACATAGCCTATAGCACGCGGACAACTAAGATGCTTTTAATGATTCGATGTTTCAAAGTTATTAGAGAACGGATGAACATTCTTACATACATACATACCGGCCAAAATCATAACCCATCTTTTCCCTTCCCCATAGTTGTGTAAAAAAGTTCGGTTACAGGTATGATGGATAGGTTTTATTCGGGGAATAATTCACTTATCTGAGGAATAAGTCTATCTGTCACTACGACGGCCAGATAAGTATTTATTCCACAGATAAACAGTATGTTTGAAGCTTTATTTCTGTTTGATTGAAGTTTGAGGTTAGTTTTCGCGTGTGTTTCATCTAAATAATATTCATAGAATGGATATTTTCGATATAATTGACGATATGGCAATTGAAGAAGAAATTATAATAAATGAATTTGTTAATCCATGTGAAAGAAAAGAAAGAATTGTAAGGGAAAGGACCGATCATTTTAACAAGTGGGATTCAAATGAATTTCATCGTCGATTCCATAATAGTTTCCATAATAATAGTTGTAAGTAATAACGAAAAAATTAGCACAAAACTACTACACAGCAAAATAACCTCACTCGTACCATAATATTACAAAAGTAAATCTGAATGACGTTAGACACGACGTTGACAAATGTCAGAAATGAAAGAAACAGTCTTCTCTCTTCTAACATACGTTCGTTCTATATTGTTGTTTCACCTTCGTGAAGTTAGCGTTTTCACAGACAAGTTTATTCGTCAGATAGCTATTCATAGAATAAATATCAAATGAAAAATTGACAATCATTTATCTGACAACTAAAGAGTCCAATAACTTTATTCTTCAGTTAACTATTGGTACTTTTATCTGAGGTTTGAAAAATCGGCCCTTAGACATTTAACTATAAATTACAAAGTTAATAATTTTTGAAATACCTAATATTATATGTTGTTGTAAGGTAAAATATTACAGTAATAGTTATTTGCGGTATTGCTATCATGTACCTTATTTTTATTGTGTTGCCAATTGATATTTCAGTACTGTTGCCACTATATCACAGGGGTCTCAATAAAAATAAGGTAGATGTTATTTTTAAAAAATATCTAATAGTTACTTGTCTGGATATGATGAGCAACATTTGACATTCAGAATGATGTAGCAATCTACATCCTTGATCTCCGAGTTACGGTGCGGGTATAATTTCAACTGTATATCTAAGGGTCTCCATGCTTTAGATTGCACTGATGTTCTATTATCAGTTACATCTTCACCATAGATAGCCTGTAAAATTAATAATTATACATTAAACAAATTAAATTGATGTCTCGGTAAAGACAAAGAAACATTATAAATGATTCAATATATACTAAAGGATTCTGTTCATCTGGCACAATATTGCCTTTTGTGTGATAGTACTTGAGAATCCTCAAGGTAATAGGCACCACATAATCTCGCTCTAATTAATGGTGATTTTGAGCTTCAGTATCTTGTTCATTATTTGTTTACTATGCCTTTACCCATCATGTACAACTAAGCTTATAGTGTAAATAAGTATTTTGGAAGTACTGATGAATTGAAAATTAAATTGAGTCTTAAAAATGCATACAAATTAACAATTACATTGAAGGTAATTTGAAGTTTTAGCAAACTACCCCCAAATCTTAGCAAATGAATGTCCTAGCAATATATAAAATACATTGTAATTTCATTAAGGGACCCATATTAAGTGGATATTATTTAATACATTAATTTTGATTTATATTATTAGTGATCATAGAATATTTTAAATATACACTTAATGTATTCCTAACATGTATACATCAAGTTTCGTGGTTTTCACCGTGACTTGTTTTAATTTTCTTTTAGTTCTAAATACTGCAAAATGATGAAAGGTGTTGTGATCATTACATTAAGTATGATGGTTATTTATGGATATAATAATAATTTTTAAGAAGTATAGTAATTACTGGAAATCTTAACAATTTATCATTTTAAAATGTTGTTTTTGTTGTTAATAAATACATTAATAATAGTCAGAAATAGTTAAAAACCTGTAACGCCGCTAGTTCGTTATCCTGTCGTTCTTCTGTAGTTTCTTCAGACATTTGTGAATCTGAGCATAGGCACAATTATTTATTATTAAATTAAAAACTCGCTTATTTAAATCTCGCTTATTTATTTCTTCATTGAAAATCCAAGAAGCCGGTTCGCCAAACCAAAACGAAAAACTAATAAAATTTTATTTAATTCTCTAAAAGTAAACGTCAAGTGTATATACTTTTTTAAGACAAGAGATCAAGACCATACGGCCTTGTTCTGTTTTCTATATTCAATATTACGCTGAACGTGAAAGTATGAATAAAGCGGTACTGAATTATTATTTGAACAAGATAAAATTCTATTGATCAAATTTTTACCTATAGGTATTTAAAGATTATCTTATGGCGGATCCACACGCACGAGAAACGTACGACAACCGACAAACACGAATAAACAAACACAAATGTAAAGACGGTTGTTTGCCTTGTTTGTGTACATATTCGCTGTTAGCCAGTAATTGAAGTTGTACCAGCATTTGATGTTAATATTATTACTTTGTTTAAATTTGTAAGTTTCGATAGAACATAATATGGTCTCGTAATACATAGGCCGTATATTGCAATTCTGACTTCGTGTGAAATCATAATAGTTTTAAGGTATCCAATATAGCTCAGTTAGACTGATCAATGTATTTGAATTAGAAGGTTCGTTATGTCAGGGAGAAATAATTTAAATATCTTGTAATAAATTGTTTAATAGTCCATAAATTCAACAATGCACGCAATAGCCGGGGAACTCGATCGTTTTCGTTTTTTCAAATAAAATCGGTATTATTATATTATTTGTCCATGTTCTGAGATTATCCATCGTACTTGATGCTAAAAACTGAAAAGAAAGTAAAAGTGGTTAATATAAAATCCTTAGCATCTTGTCTGTCTTTTGTCAACAGAGATATAAAAAAGGTACATACAACAGATAACAGAGATATAAAATAGATAGCGACTCTAGCAAAAGTTGACTTTTGCTGAAAAAGAATAGACCAAAGATAGTAATTTCCATTCCTTTTAACTAACATATTAAAATCTTAAATTTGCAAAGTTCGAAACTTAGATATCAACACAAATACGAAAAAGTACAAAATAGAATTTAATATACTTTTATATAAGAAAGAAAACCAGAAAGGTTGTCATGGAAAAATCAAAAAAGTACGGTAGCGACTTCTAGTTCGATTTCGGGAACTAATGTTTTTTTTTTATACTTCCTCATTTACTATTTGAAATACCAGTACCAGAATCAGAAAAAAGACAGTTATATTTTACCTGACTCGGAATCTAAAACGAATAAATAAAAGAAGCTTTACTTTATGTAGTTCTTTATTGTTAATTTCTAATAATATTATATTTTGATTAATTTTTCATACACAATGCCATACTGAAAATTATTCTTAATACAAAATGCTTAAAAAATCCACTTGGTCCTTAGCACCCTGAGATGGGAATCGAACCCACGACCTTTTGCAATCCGAACGACTGCTCGACTGAGTCCCATCTTAGGGTGCCAGGGACCAAGTGGATTTTATAAGCATTTTGTATTAAGAATAATTCTAATAATATTGCAACCACTGTTGCATCTATTGGTCAGCCGTACGAACGTTCATTAGGGTTTAATGACGCGTTTAAGATATAATTTATGTCAAATTTGTATGGGTAATATCGCTTTAAACTAATAAAAATTTTAATGGACTTTTGTGCAACTAGCAGTAAATCAAATCTGCTTTGGTTTATTTTCTTCTTCTCATGGTTCCTATCTTTATCTGGGGTAGAAAATTTTATTAATTTCTTCTCCTTAACTAATAGGTAATTCGTTTATTGTTATAGTCGACAAGCTATCGAATATTTAAATTTTATCTTAAAAATTTAATAAATAGTTATCTATTAGATACATACAGCATACCCCTTATTAGAATGAGATAGACATATTTTCTTAGATTTACGTGTCAACTAGATGTGCATCTGGACTGAGTGATCCTCCACTAGTCGTAGAACACGATGCACGAAAAAATGCTTGCGTTCAATGATGTTTTATTATTTTTATTTAAAAAAAAAAAAGAGTAAGTACAGTACTTACGCATGAAAATAGTATGTCTATCAAACTTGACTAAAGTAAAACTTAGTAGACACGCTAATGTACTTGCGTGTTAAAGATCGACACGTAATAAATGACGTGCTACGAGATTTAGTGTAATGCTTGATTTAATGCGTTTATCACGCACACATTTTATTATGTACTTAGTGCATTAATAAATTAACGCATTCATTAACAAGAAAATTTTTCTTAGCATTAGCGTCTCAACGTGTCAATGTATTTAAGTCGTTTTGAACAACTCTAAAACTCAGCAGATAACCCATCTAAACTTTTTAACACATCATTGGTTACCGGTCAATTCATAAACACACTTTAAAATCAAAAAATTTCGTTGATCTTCAGCTCTTTTCACAAAATTTGCTTTAAACATAAAAAACAATATTTCTAGCTTGAGATATCAATGACATTTCGGGCATTTAAAAAAAAATTACTCAAGTATTTAATACAACAATATACACTTTGACTTAACAGTTGTCAACAGTAGACAATTTATACTGCCATATGAAAATCGAGAGTTAATATATATTTTTTTTGCAATCAGATTCTGGTACACCTATAGGTCCTTTTTTTTGCAAAATTCAATCCTATTCATTTTGCATGTCACGCTATCGCACTATCCATGAATGAAACAATTTTAAACGGTTTATTCAATTGAATTATTGTAAAAATACATTTGCTTTATTAATTCCTTTCCACATCTTAAAACTATTTCCATATTATTCTTTCACTATAAAACTGTTGAATTCATTTCATATGTATAAATTCTTTTTATTTACGAGTATTATGATATATTAACGCTATTTATTTATTATTCCTTCTCTATATTGCATACACTCCCCATAGTATCTTTATTTGTTATCCATTTTCACCATAGGTTGCCTGGAAGAAATTGCTGTTTAGCAATAATGCCGCCATTTGCTTACTCAATCACTTAGATAATAAACTTTTGTAAACAATGTATCTATCATATTGAGTGCAATGAAGTGTTTTATTATTATTATTAATTTACCACCAGTTCAAAAATTTGGGCGTCTTGTCTGAGAAGAACTGGCGAAACAAACCCTGAGAAGAAAAGTGAATTGTTTCCTTTAATTTAATATTTACAGAATGAACTAACTGTAACTTTTGGTTTTGCATTGTGTGATCTGGATTGAGATGTTCTTGGACTAATTACTGGATTCCAAGCCGGTAGTATATGCCATCATCTCTATAAAACTAACCGTCAATAAAACTAAGTTGAAACGCGATGGAACCGTTTAAAAGTTGTTTCATTTATAAATTCAGTCCTCTTTAAATATTAGTTGAAAATTTTAAAAATTAGTTAATAGGTTTTAAATGGACTTTGAGAATATTACTGTTCGGAAATTCCCTTTTTCTGCTTTACTGTTGCAAAAATAACAAAAAGTCTTTCGTTAAACATACAACAGTATTGAACGTTGACTGCATTTGATAGATCCCATGCTAATAAAAACGAAATTCATTGCACTTCGCGTAAACCTAGAAAACGTTCGAAAAATCGTCTACTGCGTATGAAGTAGGCCACATACTCCATTCTGTAAGAAAATCAGTTTGGAACTCAACTTCGAGCACAGCGCTGTCACAGCAAAGAGGTTCAATCACTCGATAAAAGATTATATAAAATTAAATATGAGACAATATCACATACATTGCTCAGATTCCTTCCAAGTTACTCATCATCGAAGGAATCTAAAACCCTCGTATTACAGTTTTTGAAACAACGAAGGTACGATAACACCTAGACTCGAGATGTAGGTATTTATTGACGAACAGGAAATCGAATCCGGGACCTCACAGATGTTGGCATCTTTAAACTAGTGTGCAAACCACTCGGTTACGGAGGTCGTAAAATAACGTTTAATATCTTCTGAAGTATGTTTTATATGATTGTGATGTGATAGCGCTCTGTTCGAAATCGAGTTCGACGCTGATTTTATTACAGAATACCACTGAAAAACAAAAATTCTTTTACCAGATTACTAGCAATCGCTTTGTGTTAGTAGGTATTAATAATACTCACCCGTCTTGACAATACTTCACTGATGCTACTTTCTGGCATGTAAACCATTCTGACACCACTACCACCAGAAACAGATAACCTTGATGACTCCGCTGTAAACTCTCCCGAGGCTAAATTTTTCGTAAGCTGAAACAATTTTTTTACAAACCTACAGCAAAAAATGTCAGACACAGCAGCGATACATTTACCAAATACAATATTTCAAATTAAAACTATGCTTAATCTCCAATCCAATGGAAACATCAAGTAAAAAACTCGTCAGATGAGTTCCTCCTACTAAGCTCCGCAAGATTATTAGAGGTGCGTTAGACAGATTTCGATAGAGACAATTAGTTCCATCTAAATGTGGATTTACTCTAGGGCGACAAGATCTTCATTCATGAACTGTTGACTACACAGAGACGTAAGTTTACAAGGTTTCTGCTGACACATCACCTGCGCCCCCGTGGGATTAGCCAGCGGGGACGGTCCATTCACACAAGTCTTTTCCTTCCCGCAGCGGGCGACTCCTTTCCGCCCTCCGCGAGAAGAGTCTCAGCGTGGCGGAAGAAACGGGGCCCTCCTTGCAGGATACCGGGTACTTCCTATCCGCATGAGGTGAACCGTAGTGGGTTTTACCAGGTAGGTCTTCCACATTACCCTGTCTTTTTGACAGGTTAATGTGGAAGGCGGGGCGGTTGGAGAGCCCTGGTTTAAGGCTTAAGGTGCATTTCCCTGCGTTATCAAAGAAATTCATGTGATTTGTAAACATCTTTGATGGTTCACTCAAAAGAGCAGTCGCCGGAGGTTAGAATGTGGTCACTGGTTGGATCCGGGGGGTTCCTTGCTGGATCGTGGTTTAATACTTAAGGTGCAATTTCCCCTGCGTTATAAAAGATTTAAAAAAGAAACGTTCGTTTTTCGCAGAATGGGCACAATCAAGTAAATTAATCTTACGGTCAATGTCAGCTGCAGTAAGTTGTGGTTATAGATACCGGTGAACCTGTGAGTGCCTTCTTTATCCAGGACGGCAGTGATGTCATACCCAATTTTGACGTTAAACATGTTGATAATGGCGACGAAAGATGCTGTGGTGACGCCACTATTGGAATAATGAGCGGAAGTCTGCTGGCCAGTCAATGAGATTCTCTCAAGGGAGACGACGAAACCATTGGTGTAATAGGCATGTCCAACCACATGCCAGTTGTAAAGGTTTTCACTGCAATTTCAACAACAACTTCAAATACATGTATGATACCTACATACTTATATGATTGATTTCTTCTCTTCTTCATAATATAGTCTCTTTATTAGATCTACAGAGAACAGAAAGACCTGAGTTCTGTGGTACACAGCTTTTGAATATGAATAAGTAGAGATAATAAATGGGAAATCATTTGAATATAAATATCTTGATTGACGAGTACATGACCTTGGCGGGATAATATTAAGTGATGTTTTCTATTAATGCTCATAAATTTAAATTGGTCTATTTATAGCAAAATCAAACCCGGTAACACTCACTTCAGTGTTTGGTTAAAGTCCGTCAGTTTTAAATTGCAGAAGCATCTTTCTTCGATCTCGTAGAATGTTTCCTGTAAAAGTCTAGCGTAGTACTCATTGCCATTCAGTATTTTAATTTTCGACGCTGAAAGAACACACACAATATAGTAACAGTATCTTTAAGATAAGTTAAAAGTTTAAAGGTTAAATGAATTTAGCGCATTATACACGATGAAAATGCTGGTGGAACATTAATAGGAATATTACTATGACTACAGGTAATTCATGAAGCTCGATATGAGTTAATATTGAAGGAATACTTACTTAAATCTACTTCTAAACTTGGTACAATTATAAATGTTAACAATATTAAACTAAACATCTTGACTGTAATCTCCGTCGAGTTTTATTGAAAGTAATAAATGTACATTAAAGACCGTCATAGATTTAATTGATGATAGTAAAATTTTGATAAATAAAATTAATGTATGAATACATTGTTGTAGAATATGTTTTATTAACATGGATTTATATTTATCTTAATGAGACGGACTGATCTTATCCAAAATCTTATCTTATAGAATCTAGTCTGGCATAAACGATTATCACAAAGTCTACGTATGTTCTGGGTTCCGTTAAACAATATTATATTTGAATATTTATTAGAAAATAATATAGAATAAACTATATTACAGCAAAAAATATATTGCACCGCAAAAAAAAAAAATTCAAAAAAACTTATTAAAATAAATTTTGCTGAAAAATAAGTAATGTCATCACTTTGATTTTATAGGGTTAAGATATTTTGTCCACATCAATCCGACTGTTAATAGAATTAGTAAATAAGTTTCCTACAATACTTAGAAATTAAAATATTATGAATCATTGTTTCTTTCAACAAAAATTTAATTATCGACCGTGAAATATATAGTTAGATAATAGTATCATTTAGCATTCACCAATATGTGCTAATCTGTTAAAAATAATCCCAATATTAGAGTCAAATATAATCGACTTCAAAAAGTAATAAAGTCATTACTTTTTGAAGCCATTTGATCCAATTTCTGATGCTCCCAAAATGCTGTGTTTTACGCTGTATTTTAAAAGAACAGCAAAGCTGGTGTAAGTTCGTAATTTTGTTATACAATAAAAGGCTCGTGTAGAGTTTCTTGGCGTTACCTAAAAAGATACGTTATTTTTTGGGTCTTAGTGCCCGTAACCCCATGCCTGCATAATGTGTAAATAAAAAAGTACACTTAAATAAACTCCAAACCTCTTTAGCCTTTAGTCGTGAAGGTGCTTTTTAATATTAACAAATATGGTTTTGATATTATGAAAATGCGCCAGACTGTTGCAGAGTCCATTATAGATAAATTTAATAGCCAATCTTATCGAGAAGAGATTGAAATCTTGCAGATAATGAATTTTTATTATAGATATGTTATTACCTAAACATTATTGGTATTACTTCTTCTTTAAGTATAACTTTAACAAGTGTAATTCAAATGAAAAGAATATTGTGTATTTTTTTCTTATTCCTTATAGGACCAGCATGTAATCAGTTGGGTTGGTAATATAACAATTTTCATCCTATACTTCAATTAATTTTGTATTAGGCATCCATAACTCCACTGCAAAGAGTTCATACATAACTGTAGATATTTAGGCATAACATTATTTCTGATTTTATAAAGTAATTTGTTTAATCCTATTAATATTATAAATGTGAAAGTTTCTTTGTTTGGATGTTTGGATGTTTGTCCGTCAATCACGCCGAAACTACTGAATGGATTTTGATGAAATTTGGTATACAGATAGGGTATTAGCTGACTTAGATAATATACTTTTTATTCCACTAAACATTTCCCTAGGGTCCACGCGGGCGAAGCCGCTGGCGAAAGCTAGTCTAGAATAAGTGTTAATGCAGTAAGAATCTAAGAAGTGACAATTCTAAAGAAGTATCTATATCAATCGCATTGTTCATAAGGAATATGTTTTTAGTGAGCAACATAAGATTTCTCCAGCATGCCACCTATATGCTGAAGGTGGTTGAAGAAACAGTACACGATATTGAGGACAACGGCTGGTGCATTCTGAAAATTCCAGAAATCGTCGAGGACTTAAAGTATGTGTCCCTGTATTATTTACTGCCATGTGATTTCCGATTATTTCTTTTAGTTGAAACAGAAGTATGAGAGACCTCATGGCAACAACATTCATTCTGTAAAAAAAAAATGAATTATGTATTCTAAATATTATAACTATGGTAAATGATACTCGCACGATTTGTGATATTGTTGCGAGCACATAACACGGAAAAGAGGTTTGCGAGTACGGATTCGGGATAAAATTTAACGCCAATTAAATTCACAATAAAAATATTTATTTAATTAATAAAATTACCAGAATAATTCGTTAACAAAAATCACAATTTAATTTCACTATACACGTCTCCACGGTCACTTCATAACATTAATAGAACGTCCGGATATTTTTTCTTCACTGGTATACTTTGTATTCGCTTTCGTTTTCAGTTCATTTGTTATTGAAAGAGTACCCGTACAGGTTCAAACCGCATAATTATACGGCCCCATAACACATTTAGAATGTTCTAGGTAGTCTTGTGTAGTTCGCGAACGAACTGGGCCGAAGAACTGGCTCCCATAGACAAACTACATGAACTAGTTTCAATTGTGTTTGTTTCAATTCAACTCGCTTCAATTGTGTCCTGACGTGTATACTTAGACTCCGTTATATTAAATCGTATAAAATCGTAAAAGTCGCCGATGCATATTGTATCCCATATTGATCAATTCATCTAATCGCAAACTGCAAATTGGTTTTGAAATCAATTCGGTGTGTGAAGTGATTGTAATTAAAACTTCAAATCTTTTTCTTCGTTTGATGGTTAGCATTGTTCGAATCAGCTGTGTTTTGGCCTTGAACATTCATACGGCCGTTCACCTCATTATCAACTTTCGTACGGACGATACCAATTCACTAATTTGTCGTTGTTATTTCATGTTGTATGGCGCAAAGGTTCGCAGTCCAAAGTTAGAGTTGCACCGACCGGCAGTTCGATACCGAAACGATATGGTGGATATTTTTCAGCAGCTGTTGTTATTATTATTCGATAAACACGCTCCTTATGTAACTAAAACGATTAAGCCTGGCAAGTCTCTACCCTGGATCACGAACACGATAAGATGCATGATGAACTTGCGGAATAATGCCCTCAGCAAGTATCGTACTACCAGATTAGATGTGGATAAAAATGCCTGGAAAAGATTAAAGGAGCTGGTGGAAGTAAGTTTAGCTTCTGAAAAGCGTGCGTACTTTGACCGCTTTGTAAATTCCCAGTCGTGTAGTAGTGGGTCCTTTTGGAGAAGTGTTAAGGAAAAGGTCTTAGTTGACCCTTGCCATGATCGAGTTCTTCCCGATTCTTTCAGTGACCCAAACCTTATTAATTCACATTTCCTTGAGTTTCAAGGGAATGACGAAGTTGCCTCTTCATATATTGATCATTTTAAATCATATCGTTATAGAGGCGCTATGTTCGGTCTGAGGCCTATCTCTGAGAATGAGGTGGCCGAGTTTATCTTGTCAATTAAATCCAATGCTTTGGGTTGTGATGGTTTGAACAGGGATATGATGTTATTGACCTTGCCATGCACTCTAAGCGTTATTCTAAATTTGTCCCTTTCTACTGGCACCTTTCCGGCTGGATGGAAGCACGCTTTAGTCACATCCCTACCTTTTTTTTTTTTTTGACGCTGAGAAATGCATTACGCCTACCCGCTTCACCCTGCGCGGGCTCCACGGGTGATGTGGGACTCCTCCTGCGGCCCCACCCCAAGAATGGGGCTAGATAAGAAACAGGAGTTTACCCACTAAAACTCAGCGATGTCCCTCTCATGGTGGGCGAGACGCAGGATCGGCCCGAAGGCCATACACCGCGCAGGGTCACACCCCTACCTAAAGTCTCCCACCCGTCTGAATTTATGGATCTTAGACCGATAAGTATCCTGCCTTTTCTCTCAAAAATTTCGGAGAAGGCAGTATAATCTCAGCTATACAAATATTTTAAGTGTAATGGTGTTCTTCCCGCAACGCAGTCCGGTTTTCGTCGCAACCATGGCACGTCCACCGCCCTGCTGATGTGGTGGATGATATCCTCTCTCAGCAGGATGCAGGTCGTTTGCTAGTTACCTTATTCATCGATATCAGTCAGTGATGCTACACAAAGTTTCTGATAACTCAACCAAGATCCTAGAGAAGTTACACGTGGGCAATGTACCTCAGGGCTCCATTCTTGGGCCTCTGTTATTTATTGTTTACACGGCGGATATGGCAAAAGCAATTAAATACTGCAGATATCATTGTTTCGCTGATGATGTGCAGCTTTATATTTCTACACATCCGGCGATGACGGAGGAGACGGTCTTAAAAATGAATAAAGATATACAGGCCATTGCTGAGTGGTCCATGAAAAACAAAATAAATTTTAACTCTTTGAAATCCAAATTTATGGTGATTGGTTCCAGAGCTCAGTTTAATAAGATTGTTGCCTCGAATCCCATTGTGGCTGTCGAATACCAAACAATGCCAAAGGTCGACGAGGTACGCAATCTGGGACTGACTTTTGATAGCCACCTGCGCTTCGAGGCACATGTCTTGAGTTTGGTCAGGACTTGCATATACCGCCTGAAGCATCTTTATCGAGTTCGCAATTTTTTAAGTGAAGGTGCGCGCATAACATTGGTCGAGTCTTTAATACTCTCGCAACTGAATTATGCTGATGTGGTTATTGACCCTCGGCTTTTTTCTAGGACTCGAAAGCTGATTCAGCGAGTTCAGAATGCTTGCTGTAGATTTTGTTTTCCTGTGCCTCCTCGAACTCATATTACTCCATTCTTAAACTCGGCAAATATGCTCCGAATGGAGTCTCGTGTGAAACTACATTACGCGTGTCTAATTTTTAATATTATAAAGAATCGTCAGCCTGTATACTTGTACAATAAACTAAAGTTTTTACGACATCTAGTAGATTCGCTGTGAGAGTTGTTCGGCCTGTATTAGTTTCTTATCTTCACCGTACGACAGCATTTAGAAGTAGTTTTAAATTTCAATCCACCAAGTGTTGGAATGATATACCACCACCTCTGAGAGGTCTCATTTCTGTATCGACATTTAAATTAAAATTGAAGGCACACTTACTGGAATTACAAAAAATAATAATTTAACTTTAATATAATAATAGTAATTTACTACCTTATGACATTATGAATTACAATCTGACATAACATTGAATCTTAAAACCATCAAAAATGTTAATTCAAATTTGACATCATATTATCACGATACTAATTCTATTAGCCTGTATTATTTATTGATTTTATATATATTATTTACTTTCTGACATTATTATAACATTGACCACATTTCTATCTGACATGCTTCTGACATTACATTATGTTTGTTCTTTCGACTCCTTTTCTTTGATTTTGACCCTGCTCGTCTCAGCTGGGGTGATGGCTAAAAATCAGTGCTTTACCGACATTTCGGTGATTTCAATGCACTGAGCCTAGACCCTTTCTCTCTGCTACACACTGGTACATGACTTATTCTTAGTTAATATATTTTCTATAATGTCTTTATTTATTTTTATTCTCTGTATAATGTGGTTGTGTGTTGCATTTAGAATAAATTAACTATCTATCTATCTAGTTACCACATTTCCCGTTCCGTAGTTCGTGACAGAACTAATGAGTCGTCTCGTTAAAAATATAAAGTATATTATTCATTGCCTAAACAATAAACATAGTTATTTAGATAAAAAAAAACTATATTTTTGAGTCCAAAAATTTGATGTAATAATAATCTTGTCACATTAGGAAAGCGCAGTATCAAATAAAGCGAACGAACTGCCTTAAAATAATTGAATATACTGCAGCTAGCTCATTTTAAAACTGCTCTTGCTGCAAAGAGCTAGAAATCTGAACGAACTAACGAGCATATCCATTCTGTAAAAATCCGAACCCAAATTCGAATTCACGTCATTTATTGTAGAAATTCGATTGATTTCTTTTTCTATACAAAACAAGATTGATTGATTCATATGTTTCTTAGATATTCTTTCCTATGCCATTTCAAGACTCAATTAATTATTCTTAATACAAAATGATTAAAAAATCCACTTAGTCCCTGGCACCCTGAAATGGGAATCGATCCCTCGACCTTTCGCAATCCGGGCGACTGCTCTAACCGCTGAGCTACTTAACAGGACTGACGAATTTTTCAAGCACTTGTTACTTTTCGCTACTACAGAGCGCATTATTTGTATTAAGAATAATTTTCAGAATGTCATTGTGAATGTTACAACAATCAAAATATAATAATTAGAACAAAATTGTCATCTTTATCGAAAATTTTAATATTTGTAACAATATTTCTTTCGGCTGTTTGGATGGATGCCTGAACATTGATGAGAATGCGCTCTGTAGTAGCGAAAAGTAATAAGTGCTTGAAAAAATTGTCAGTCCTGTTAGGTCTTGGGTAGCTCAGTGGTTAGAGCAGTCGCCCGGATTGCGAAAGGTTGTGGGTTTGATTCCCATCTCAGGGTGCCAGGGACCAAGTGGATTTTTTTAGCATTTTGTATTAAGAATAATTTTCAGTATGGCATTATGAATGCTAAAAAAATCAAAATATAATCACTTAATTAATGTCAAGAAACGTTATTATCAATTGAACGTTGAGCGGATGCCGCTTTTGAAGTGAATTCAGACACCTGATTAAATTAGAATTCGGTTTCGGAGTTTTCAAGAATCACAGGGCTGCTTAAGAAGTTACAGTAAAGTTCAAAACCTTCGGGATAAGAATATGTTTAATATAGCAAGGAATTTTTATGCTGATTTCAGTTTTTATTTGATTGATCGAAACATCACCGGGAAAGTAACGTATAAAAATGGCTTCGTACACACAATAGAACATGTCGACGTGCTCACTAGGAGCGTCCAACAGGTATTATTGTCCATCATTTAGGTACATTTGAATGATAGTTTTTTACGGGATTGCAACCCCTTACCTTGTTTTAATTACACCCGCAAAAACTTCAGTTACTCTGTGATCATCTCTTGGAACAGCGCTGAAATATCAGGATCTCAACAAAATTAAAATATATCATAGCAATCCCGTAAAAAAACTATCATTCTGAGGTAAAAAAGAACACTTGATCAATGTCGATTATTGCACTGGTTTTTCCTATGGATAGAATTACATAAGCAGAGAAGCTTGATACTCAAATGGTTGGTGCCTTCAGTCTGTGATGCTGAGGTTAAGCAACATAGGGCCGATCATACGATGGGTGATTAAAATTTAATATAAAAAGTTCTTACGTGCTTCAGAAGGTATGTTAGGCCATTGGTTTCGATTGTATCTGCAGTTAATAGTCACCAATCCGCAATTAGCTCGCGTTATAGCCTACTTTCTCTATTCAATTCCTGTCAAAGACCTGTGCCCCAGCAGTGAGGATAATGAGGCAGAACGGGCTTAAAACTGTGCAGTAACATGGGCTCAGAATTGTTTGGTGTTTGTTATCTACAATAGATGCAAGCGGGACGCACTCAACGGTATATATCCGGGAAGAATAACCTTATGTGCACTACTAGAGATGCCTGTGTCATGCATGACTTTGAATAATAATAGAATACCTGTATTTCTGTTAAATTACTTTATTACCATTTCATAAGTGATAAAGTAATTTCACTAGTTTACGTTGTAGTAAATTAAACTGATGATATATGTGCACGACAGCCTGTTAAATGTAAACAAAAAATCAATTTTGACTAACCTCAACATTTAGAGATGGCTGTGGAATGCCACCTTGGGATCAGCCGTAGCTAGCCTAGAGAGTCAGCTGAGGCTCCACAACGTAGTCCTTGGATTTGACGTGATTGCCGATATCGATGAGAACCGTCACCATTACACTGCTACAGTCACGCATGGGCTGATAGCTGTAAATTTTGCGGTATGTAAATAAGATTCTACTATATAAAATTGATGAGATATTACATCGGAATACTCTCAAAATGAGTTCAATAGACAAAAACAAAAGCACCATCATCTTCTGAATTATAATGAAGTGAAGATATTTTAGTACGCCTGCACAACTGTACAGTTTAACAGCAGTAATTCCAACGTTTCTATAAGGCCAAGTTACCATCATCGACTTTATTTTCTGTTTAAGACCACAATCTAGATGGTAAAAAAAATATGTAAGAAAAGCTGTCAGCAGATTACGTAACTTCACAGCGATGAAAGGGCAACAATACACTATTCTCATTCTAAATAATTATTTTATTTTCAATTAATTCGGCAGTGACACTCAAAAATAACAATTCTAAATACATTTCTGCATCTCCACGTGTTGTATTTTCATTTCGATATTTTCGGACATTAAGAACGATTAGTAAATACACGAGATACGAAAATAATATCAAGTTAGAATAAGATGTTTTGTTTTTATTGCGTAGAGCCCGATGGAGCAGTAGTTTTAACTTTTGCAAGGGCCGGTCGATTAATAGATGCAAACAAATTGTAATCTCGAGCTCCTCTGTGCATGTCCTAGCAGCATCTTAAGTTATTAATACCAATTTTGCACTTTGTTGAGATACCTCTCACTACTTATTTCATTAAAACTTTAACCTTCATTTTCGTTGTGGCTAAGGGTAAACACAAAAATAATATTTTTCAGGTGGTAACATTCATGAGTCTGAATGAAACAGATATAAGAGTAACCGTGGATCGACCACTTGCACCTGTAAAGCGAATTTCTTATGTACCTCAAGATGATAGCAGCGATATGATTGGAGCTTTGGTAAGTCCAAGCTTAGAAAAATACATACAATACGTATTATAGTTTTGAGGCTCTTGATGACTTGTTAAATACGTTATGGGTTACCAAAAAATTAATAAGTATGTGAGCGACGTGATGAAAACAGGGTGAAAAAAGCAGCTCTTGCTGAGTTTCTTGCCGGTTCTTTTCAATACAAGGTCTACGGCCCTATGGCATAGCTTTCGAGTGTCCCAGAATTTCTCAGCACTCTTGGCAAACACGCTAATGTAACCTAGACTGAATAAATACTACGTTTATATTTGATTTCATGACGTTTCGGCCCTTTGTCGTTTGTTTAATATAAATCATGCAATATATTTTCAGTATAAACCAGATACTACACGAAATCTTGTTATGCAGTGGTCCAAAACAATACAACCTATGATGGAAGACGTAGTTGTCAACAGAGTGGTGTTCCCAACGATCTGCTACGATTGCGCGGCGTGATTAACTAATTATTTTAGTTTTAAAATTAAGTTTCAGATTTTGGCAATATGTTTAAATAAATTTGCTATCCTCACAGATGTATATCAGATGATTTTATATCTTAATATAACTCTGTGACTGTTCCAATAGTTTCTGCATAAAATAATCTGGAATTTTTATTGTTATAGTTTTTTATTACTTAATAGATCGAGTTTTTATTGGCATTAATAAGAAATAGAATACTCTTCAAACTTTCACAAAGTGAGAAATAATACATATATAACAAGCGTCTTTTTCAAGAAACTATTATTGAAGTCGGGCGGAGGTTTTCTGTAGCTTATTATTAATATCTTGCTCTTAAGTGATATTCATAAATATTTTATATAAAAGGTAATAATAAAATATCAAATTTTTAAAATAAAAATCTGTCAACATAGTATATGTCTAAAGAAAGGAGATTTTGTTTATATGCTCGACATAATTTTGTATCGATAGCTATATTATAATAGCTTTGAATAAAAGACAGAGTTATCGTATGACACAATAGTTTGTTTTGGTATGTTCAATAAAATAAATTTCTTGTTTTAAAGTTTTCACAGCAGGGGTTTGCTGTAAAAACTTTAGTTAACGTTAGTTCTTAGCTTATTTTTTTTTTTTTATATAAGACAATATTGTTCTTAAGAAGTGTATGAGTGCGTACTATATAAGTAGAACGACAACGTTTTTGCCATGAACCCAATGTTCTCGATGTTAAAGCGATTGTATTAACTTGACATAATTATTTTGACATTCGTAAACCAACAGATTATGCTGTCGCTTCAACCACCCTTTCGGCTTTGATGAGGTAGACACCTGTCAAATTCTGTCGATTCACACGGACCTCTGTCAAGTCAGTTTAAGAGGGACAGCTTATAAAATGGTTTGGTACAAGTTGTAGAATGTGGCTTGGAAAATTATAATTTCATGTTGAATGTTCACTTGCTTGTTAAGGTACACTCAAAAAATTTTGTGACATTTGACACATTCTACTTGGCACACAAAATTCTGGGTTTTGATGTTGCATATCTGACGGAATACATCGCGTTTCATCGATTGCGGTCACAGTCAAAATTATCTTTAGTCAAATACTTAGCGTGGCCTTCAATACTGTTAGAATTAAAAATAAACAAAATGTTAGTTTTGAATTTCGAATCTGTTATTTTTATATGATTCGTCATTAACCGTAAGAAGCCCACTGCTGAGCATAGGCCTCCCCTATAGATGTCCATGGCGATCGCTCTTGCGCTGCCCACATCCAGCGGGTTCCCGCAACCTTTATAAGATCGTCGGTCGACCTGGTGGGAGGCCTACCCACTGAGCGTCGTCAGTTCTTCTTCAGTTCTTTATTCTTCTCTTCATTCATCAGTTCTTCTTGCATTGTGTCTCGTCCACTGCCACTTCAGGTGAGTAATTCTTTGAGCAATGTCAATAACGTTAGTTCTCTTACAGATCTCCTAATTCTCAATTCGATCGTGTAGAGAAATACCAAGAATTGCTCTCTCCATTGCTCGTTGGGTGACATTCAGCCTTCTTATGAGATCCACAGTGAACGAGCACGTTTCGCTTCGGTGACTCACTGATCGAAAACTTTAGCATTGAGATACTGTGGTAATTTGGACGTGAAGATTTTTCGTAGCTTCCCGAACGCTGCACATCCTAGCTGAATAAGACTAGAGATTTTTATATAATTGGACATTGTCTTTTGTTATTGTCGCCCCAATACATTTTAAAATATTATTTGATATTAAAATGGAGTGGGGTGATAAAGAGAACCGCATCGCATTTCTTTACATAAAGTATAGACAGGGCTGCATTGATGGCTAAAAGACATAACAAAAAACAAGAATAAAAACCCCTTAAAAATTAAAAGATTTAAAAAGAAATATTAAACTCAATGCCATTTTCCTGACTCCACTCATCCAAGGCATCAACATCTTTCTGAATAAGCTGAAAATTACTCTCATCCCTGATCTCTGGAAATAACTTTAGATCATTGCCATAGAGAAGATAATTATTTACTGCAACCAAGTACGCTAAAAACACCATGGATTATCAATTAAAAAGTAAAGGTCCACGTATGGTCACCTTGAGTCATGTTAAAAGGTGTCGGATAATATTCAAATACATAGCAACCGGAACGTATATATTGTTGCCGATCACTGAAATAATTGGTGAGAAGATGGACAAGTGCTGAAGAAAAACTAAAAGAAGCAAGCTTTGATAAAAGAATTTTACAGTCCTCTATCGAAAGCTTTAATATAGGTAGTTAAAATACAGGACGTCCACTTGCAACCCTCCATTCATTGAATTAGAGATGTATTCAACTAAGTTCATTGCAAAGATATGGTTGTAAATTTTTGGAAATTATGTTATGAAGTAGAATTGTAATCGGACGATACTTTACTACTAGTGACCTATTATTATACTTCCATGCTTGGTAGAGGTAGACGTAAAGAGGAATAGAAATTGATTTTATAATAAATATGAAAGATTGCCTGCTTGTTAGAAGCCAGAAGATCATTAGTTTCTGTACGTAGCAGTGCTAGGCAACAGTAAACCAGTAAGGAAAAGAATTCGAACAGGATGTTCGAAAGCAAAATATATTGTTTCGGGAGATGACAAAATATTTTGACTTCGAACATCCTGTTCAAAATATTGTTATTATATTATTCAACTCATTACATTACGTACGAGTATTATCATCATGACTATTTCTTAAAAGCTATAAGTATTTTACGCTATAAAAGCAGTGTTCTAAAAACCACACTGACACTTATAACAAGGAGGTTGGTACAACAGGTTTCTATATTTTTGTCTAGTTTGTTTCGGCATAATGTCCACACGTTTACTCTAGTAATTGGAATGAGAGTGAACAAATACACAGATTTTTTATGAACATATAAGGTAGAGGCAAAATATTAAGCTTTTTGAAAAGTGCCTTACAGCTAACATCAAACCAAGAATTACATATAACACGAACTCTTTTTTATTTTTATTTTAAGAACTCTGTCTAGATCTACAGACGCTCCCCATAGTATCAGACCGTAGCTTAAAACCGACGACACATAACCATGCTATGCTGTTAAAGTTATTTCAAGTATGGGCAGGTCTATGCCCCAGCAATGAGTACGTTGATAAGCTGATGATAATGATATGAAGGCGGATGCTCATTGGCAGACTTTTAATTAAGATGATCTTAAGATTCCAGTATAGCAGGCCAGGCCCCTCAGACCACATAACCAAAGCTGTGGGTTACAGCTAGTTTTATATAAAATTACAGAAAAAATTGAAGATTCAAAATATACTATATGTAAGATTAACTGAATGAAAAATGATTAAATTTCGTTTCATTACCAAGTTACTTCATACTTGTTTATAATGGCATCTTGATCAACCGCTTGAATCTTATGACTTGTATTTCTTATGTAACACCTGAACCACTTGGAATACTAATCAAGTTTTTGTATGTAGCCCTCTCGGCTCTGAAATCTGAAAAGCAAATCTCCTTGTCCCACAATAATATAAGTTAGTTCTTATGCGCTTTCATTGTCGTTATAATATTTGAACGATTTATTGCAATCTTATTCCATTTCGTATTGTTAAATACATTCTATCTATCTATCTATCAGTATCTTAACGCCGTATCCATTTCCGGTTAGGCAGAGAGGAAGTTTTTATTAATGAAGATATTTGAATTACGACATAATATAAATTTGTTGACTAACTACTCAGTCAAAGACAAAATGCTTTTTATTTAAATGAAGTATATAAAGGAGATTTTTTTTTAATAGGATATAAAATTACTGAACCGATTAAAAAATGTTTTCACCTACGGGAATCAACATCATACGCGGGTGACATTAGGGTATGTATAATTTACGCAGGTGAAGTCGCGGGAAAATCGCTAGTCTTTCATTATCTTTTTTGAATAGTTGAATTTTTTTCCTCTTGCCCATTCAGGTGATATTATTTCCTTTAATTATGGAGAGGAAAAGAAAATCAGTAACCAAAATATTTTAGACACCCGATAATAATAATTAGAAAGTATTAAATATTACTTAGTATTGAATTTATTTATTAGCTGAAACATATAAGTCAGAGCATTTTTAAAGCTACTGTACTATTTCCTAGATCATAGAAAAATCAAAAAATTGCTTCTTCTTAGTGTCTCACACAAGTTTTTTTTCTAAATGCATGATTTTCATAAGTGACTAGGTTTTGCCCATGACTTCGTCCGCGTGGTATAGTTACTTTAGGCAGCATTTCTAAAAACTGTATAACAAATATTATTCATATCTGAATATAAAGTTTCATGAGTTTATCTTTGACTATGACGAACTTCCATACAAACTATAAATCCCTATTTCAGGCTTTTTATCACAATAAAAAGCAACCTATGTCCTATCTTAATTAAATAAATATATATCTGAGTGACATTTTAGAGCCCGTGGTAAAACCCCTGTCTGATACGTTATTTCACAATAAGAATTGGGTTATTTCGCAAGACTCGGCGCCATCTCATAAGGCAAAAAGCACCCAAGCTTGGTTGAATGTGCCGGACTTCATCGCGGCGGACGAGTGACCCTCCTCCAGCCCCGACCTCAACCCGCTGGATTATACTTTATGGACTGAATTACAGCTCAGGGCCTGCTGAAAGTCCCAACCAAACTTGGAGTCACTGAAGCGAACCCTTGTTCGAGAAGCAAAGCGAATTCCGGTAGAAAATATTCGTGCCGCCATTGATGACTGGCCAAATCGTCTAAGGGCCTGTATTAAAAAGAAGGGCGGTCATTTAATATATATATTTTACTAGCTGACCCGGTGAACTTCTTATCATTTACTTCTTAATAAAAACCATATTAACATTGAAAAATATTGCGTAAACTGACCCTAAATATTGATCGTCAACTGAACGTTTGACAGCTAAGAACAGTTTGTATGGGAAAATCAAATTGTCGTTTTTAGTATTATACTCTCAATTTTGTTATATTTTCTCATCGTTTAAACCTTTCCTGGACTACCACGAATATTTCAAGACTAAAATTTGTCAAATCGGTTCAGCCGTTCTCGAGTTTTAGCGAGACTAACCATATA